TAGTCGATACCTAAAAATGTATTAAAGATGAAACTAAACTAATAACAAATTCTAAATCTTTGGGTAATTTTACATAAGGAACACTCAATTTCAGTGCAACTTGTTAATTTTTGTAGTTTTGAAAAATTATAATTCAAGTATTTTATGATTTTTTCAAAATTAGTAACAAATTTTGATCGATACCTAAAAATCTATTAAAAATGAACCAAAACTAATAAAAAATTCAAAATTTTTGGACAATTTCACACAAGAAACACTTAATTTCGGTTTATTTTGTTCATTTTTGTGGCCTTGAAAAATTATATTTCAAGTTCTTAACGATTTTAACAAAATCAATAACAAATTTTGATCGATATCTAAAAATTTATTAAAGATTAGCGGAAACCAATAACAAATTTAAAATTTTTGAACAATTTTACATAAAAGACACCTAATTTCAATCTAATTGATAAACTTTTTAGCTTTGAAAATCTATAATTTGTTATTTGACGAGATTTTCAAGATCAATAATAAATTTTGTCCGATATCTAAAAAGTTATTGAAAATGAGCAAAAAGTGGTAATAAATTCAGAACTTTTGGACAGTTTTACATAAGAAACACTTAATTTCAATACAAATTGCTAATTTTGGTGACTTAAAAAAATTAAATTTCTCACTTGGCCAGAAACATTTTAAGAAAAAAATGTCAAATATTGACCGATATCTCAAAAATTACTGAAAATAAATATAAACTAATTACACAATTTCACTTTTCACAGTTTCGAGCCAATTTTTTATTTTTTGCGACCTTGAAAAATCTAATTTCTAGCAGAGAAATAAGAATTCTAAACCGTATTAAAGCTATTTATTTGAAAAATTCGACAATTTATAACACCCGAAAGCATCTATGTGTTTTCTGCGAAATAGATAAATTACCCTTCTCAAAGTTTTGATAAATTATGAAATATCTGAACACGAATTTCGAACATTAATTCTTGAATCTCCTAAAAAATTGGAAAGTTTAAAACTCATCCAAATGCATCAAAAAACCCTCTGAATTCTATCCAAAAACGGAAAGTTTCACCAGAGTATAAATTCCTAAACAAGTCGAGCAATTTGTGTAATTCTTGCACAAACAACAAAGTTTGGACACAAAAACATAAAATTAGGAAACTCTAAACTTGTCTAACACCATCCCAAACTTTGAACTCTTAACTAAAGTCATTTTTACTAATTTGAACAATTAATCGCGTTGCCATTGACCGTCAAAAATGGCGGTAAATTCAAACGCAAACTTCTTTAAAAGCCACCCCATGCAATTAAAACTTGGAAATCCCTGCCGTTTCACCCCTCAAATCCTGCAATAACAATAACACCCCCGAATTCGCCCTAATCCCGTCCAAACCCCGTTTAATTAGCCCCAAATTGAATTTTTTAAAACCCCGATAAATTTTTATCAAAAAACTGCGATCTAGTGTGCGTGTCGAAGACCTGGGGGTGCATTCACCCGTCGCTATCACATGACTCACCCCCGGCCAGGGCCGGACTAAAATATTTCGAATTTCAGAAGCGCCGAGTCATTCGGGGCCTCTGTGGAGGCCATGCCTTGGTTGGTGGTACCATGGCAACAAGCGGGGGTCAGGGCCGAACTGGCCCAATTGTACGGAATAAGGGGGATCCCCACGTTGCTGCTGTTGGACCGGAATGGCCATATTATCACGATGGATGCCAGGACCGAACTCGCCGAGGATCCAATGGCGCAGGTAATTGGCCCTAATTAATTTCCTAATTGGTTTTAATTGAATTTTGTAGAATTTTCCATGGAAACCGCGCGCTGTTAATATTTTAACCGAGCGATTTGCTAATAAATTACACGATTATCCGGCCATCGTCTTGTTTGTGGGTGAGTTGAATCAACTTAACCTAATTTACTTAACTTAAGTGTACTTACTTTTAATTAATTAATTGCATGTTTGTCCAATGCACATATTTAAACTAGTCACTGTTGCACCATCACTGGTTTTTTCACATCAAATTTGAGAAAAGTTTTTGTTAAATTTAATTATTATTGTGTGTTGGGATTGTTATCGCGTGATTTAATTTATGGATGATAAAGTTGGGTTAAGACAGGTCAGGACTTCCCCTTTGAGATGAGTTATTTTAGTTATGATCGATGCGAAGTGTAGGTTAAAATTATTTTTAGATTATGGGAAAATTTCAAATTTTGTGATGTCATGTCATTTGATTTTATTGTTATTGATTTGGCACGACTGTTGCAAATTTATTTCTGTTTATTTACGCTTGATTGAATTTTTATTACGTCTACACCAAAAAAATCAATTTTTTGATTAGGTATACACAAATAAGCAATATTTTTGTTAAATGTAGCTGATATCTCGAAAGCGAGTAATGACAAGAGAAAACTAATTAAAGATTCAGAATTCTTGCATTTTGTATAAGAAAAGCTAATTTCGGTTAAATTTGTTGATTTCTTTGGCCCTGAAAAAAGACGAATTGATAATTAAAAAAAAAAATGTTCGCCAACTTTGGCTAATATCACAAAAACTGTTAACGATAAAGAAAAACTGATTAGATATTTAGACTCCTTGGACAATTTTGCATAACAAATGTTACATTTCGGCCTAATTTGATAATTTCAGTAACATTGAGAGATTATAATTTTGGTACTAATTTTACAAAAACATCAACAAATTTTAATCAATGTTTCAAAAACTATTAAGACTAAGTATAAACTGACTTTGTATTCAGAATCCTTGGACAATTTTCCATGACAAAAATTTGTTTTCAGTCAAATTTGTTGATTTTTGAAAAATTATTACTTTTGACCAGAGACGAATCAAAAACACTAACAAATTTTGGCTGATATCTCACAAACTATATTAACATTAAAAAAAAACTGATTAGATATTCGGAATCCTTGACTAATTTCGCATAAGAAATGTCTAATTTTGGTTTAATTTATTGATTTTTGCGACTTGACCTGAGACGATTTGACGAATTTTACAAAAATATCAACAATTTTTGGTCGATATCTCAAAAACTATTGAAGTCAAGTAAAAACAAGTAAAAACTGACTTCATATTCAAAATACTTGGACAATTTTACATAAGAAATATGTAATTTCAGTCAAATTTATTGTTTTCTGTAACCTTGAAAAGTTAAATACGTAATCCTAACACTTGACCGGACGATTTTTACAAAAAGTCCCCAAATTTTGGTCAATATTTCGAAAACTATGAACGATAAGGAAAGACTCATCGCATATTTGGAATCTACGGACTATTTTGTATAACCAAAGTCTAATTTCAGTCAAATTTGTTGATTTTTATGGTCCTGAAAAATTATTACCCCAATAGTTGACCAAAAACGAATTGATAATCTTTAAAAAACATTCACAAATTTTGACCAATATCTCAAAAACTATTAAGGATAACTAAAAACTGGTTACATATTCTACATCCTTGGACAATTTTGCATAATAAAAATATAATTTTGGTAAAATTTATCGTTTTCTGTGTCCTTGAAAAATGATTACTTTAATATTTTAAAACGTTTAAAAACATTCACAGATGTTAGCCGATTTTTTCAAAACTGTTAATGATAAGGAAAAACTGATTGCATATTTAGAATTCTTGAATAATTTCGCATAGGAAAAATCTGATTTCGGTTAAATTATTTGACTCTGTGACCGTGAAAAATTATTACTCGAATTCTTGACCAAAAACGATTTGAAATTTTTAGAAAACATTTACACATTTTGACCAATATCTCAAAAACTATTAAAGATAACTAAAAACTGGTTACATATTCTTAATCCTTCCACAATTTCACATAAGAAAAATCTACTTTTAGTTAAATTTGTTGATTAACCCTGGAAATTATTATTTCAACACTTGATCAGAGACGAATTGTTCATTTTTAGAAAAACATTCACACATTTTGGCTGATATTTCATAAATTATTAACATCAAGGAAAAACTGATTAGATATTTAGAATCCTTAGACAATTTTGCATAAGAAATGTTTAATATCAGCCTAATTTATTGATTTGTGCGACGTTGAGAAATATTATAATTTTGGCACTTGATTAGAAACGATTTGACAAATTTTACAAAAACAAATTTTGGTCGATACCTTAAAAATTATTAAAGTTAAGTAAAAACTAATTTCATATTCAGAATACTTGGACAATTTTACTTAAGAAATATCTAATTTCAATTGTTTTCTGCGACCTTGAGAAGTTAAAACCGTAATCCTAGTACTTGACGATTTTTACAAAAAGTCCTCAAATTTTGGTCAATATTTCGAAAACTATTAATGATAAGAAAAAACTGATAGCACACAATTTGATTTTAGTTAAATTTGTTGATTTTTGTGGTTCTGAAAAATTATTACTCCAATACTTGACCAAAAACGAATTGATAATTTTTAGAAAACATTCACAAATTTTGACCAATATCTCAAAAACTGTTAAAGATAACCAAAAACTGGTTACATATTCTGGATCCTTGGACAATTTCGTCTAAGAAAAATATAATTTTGGTAAAATTTATTGTTTTCTGTGACCTTGAAAAATTATTATTTTAATATTAAGAAACATTTGCAGATGTTAGCCGTTTTCTCGAAAACTGTTAATGATAAGGAAAAACTGATTACATATTTAGAATCCTTGAATAATTTCGTATAGAAAAAATCTGATTTCGGTTAAATTATTTAACTTCTGTGACCGTGAAAATTTTTTACTCGAATTCTTGACCAGAAACGATTTGAAATTTTTTTTTTCACAAATTTTGACCAATATCTCAAAAACAATTAATTAAAAACTGGTTACATATTCTGGATCCTTGGACAATTTCGCCTAAGAAAAATATAATTTTGGTAAAATTTATTGTCTTCTGTGACCTTGAAAAATTATTATTTTAATATTTAGAAACATTTGCAGATGTTAGCCGATTTCTCGAAAACTCTTAATGATAAGGAAAAACTGATTACATATTTAGAATCTTTGAATAATTTCGTATAGAAAAAATCTGATTTCGGTTAAATTATTTAACTTCTGTGACCGTGAAAATTTTTTACTCGAATTCTTGACTAGAAACGATTTGAAATTTTTTTTTCACAAATTTTGATCCATATCTCAAAAACAATTAAAGATAGCCAAAAACTGGTTACATATTCTAAATTCTTGGACAATTTCGCCAAAGGAAAATATAATTTTGGTAAAATTTATTGTTTTCTGAGACCTTGAAAAATCATTACTTTAATATTTTGAAACATTTACAGATATTAGCCGATTTCTCAAAAACTGTTAATGATAAGGAAAATCTGATTACACATTTAAAATCCTTGAATAATTTCGCCTATGAAAAATTTGATTTTGGTTAAATTATTTAACTTCTGTGACCTAAAAATTATTACTCGAACCAGAAACGATTTGAAATTTTTTTCACAAATTTTGACCAATATCTCCAAAACAATTAAAGATAACTAAAAACTGGTTACATATTCTGAGTCCTTGGATCATTTCGCATAAGAAAAATACAATTTTGGTCCAATTTATTGCTTTCTGTAACCTTGAAAAATCATTACTTAACACATTACACATTTTGGCCCATTTCTCGAAAGCTATTTACGATACAGAAAAATTGATTACATATTCAGAATCTTTGGACAATTTCGCCTAAGAAAAAACTAATTTTGTCCAATTCGTTTATTTCTATGACGAGTGCTTTTAAATAAAACCCCAACAATTTTTTGAATCAATTTATTGCTTCGCTTCGCAAAAAATAAAATAAATAAAATTCGCCCCCAGACGGCGAGGAAACCGAGCTCCAATTCGCCGAATCAGTCCTGTCCCCCGCCGCCGACTCGTACTACAAGACCCACAACATCAACTTCAACTCTGCCCCCGAGGACTTCTTCTCCAACTGCGAGGTCGACCACTACCTCCAATTCCTCATCGGCCTCGACTCCGAAACCAGCGACATCCTCCGCGACTTGATCGGCCTCGACGACGTCGCGCCCCTCCTCGTCGCCATCGACATCCCCAACCGACGCTTCGCCGTCATGGAATACGGCGTCGAGATCACCGTCGACGCCGTCAGCGACTTCGTCGAGCGCTTCCAGAAGGGCGACGTCAAATTCACCGAACTGAACGAACGGGTGGGGGAAGAACACAATTAGGGTGGCAGCCCTGCTCCAGTTAATCAAAAGTGTACAGTTGCTTGTTTTGTAGCATTTAATTACGTGTAAAACACAATTATATACAAAGAATTGAAATAAATTAAAAAAATTATCTACATTATTCTTATTATTTGTCAAACAGTGCTGTCAAAGCGTCAAAAAACCTCGTCCTGTCCTTGATATTAATCTCGAAATCTGCAAAAATTCATCAACATTCCAGTAAAAAACAATAAAAAACTCACAGGAAGTATCAAAATAATCCGACAAGACTTCATAATTTATATTTTCAGCTGCTTCCTCAAAGGCCCGGCCCAAATTACTAAAAATCACCAAGTCAAATAAAAAAATCACTAAATGAACGTCTAGTTACTTTTTGGGGGAATTTTGCCTTAATGGGGGAATCCCCAAGATAATACAAGTCCCTAAATCTAGATTTTTTGGTGCTGAAATAATTAAAGGTAAATCGGGGGCTTTCCGGTTCCGTGACATTGACACATAAGCCCTTAATATAAATTGAGCCAACAGTAATAAAACACATTGATTTGAAAACATAAACCAGTCTAGACAACCCTGCAAAAAAATATTACTAAGTAACAATCACAAAAAAATCCCTACTTCTTGTATAATATAATAGACAAAATTCCCTGCTGTGATTATTTGTTTCATATCAATAGCCGCTTGTACAGTCTTATAAATTGTCTTTGTGATTATTTTTGCACGTTCTATTGCTTTTTGCACCACTTCTTTTTTATTTCGAGTGAGACAATCGAGGGCTGAATTAAAACACTCTTCTGGTTTTTCCCTCGACTGAAAAAAACAGTTATTTCTGAGTGAATTAACGAAATTGTGAATGAAATACCGATGACTCTAAAATTGCAAGCATGGCGTACACAATATCCGACGCACAGTATTTGTTCCGGTAGCCATATTGTAAAATAAATGACGTAAACACTAAGTCTTCTAGATTGTATTTTTCCGATAATTTTTCAATACTTTCCTGGAATTCTTTACGTAGTTGGAGGTCCATCGACTCGAATGCCTGTTGACTTTGCGACAAGGGCAACCTGCAAGTTGAGAATGAGCCCACCTTTCTCCCACCCACTTGGAGTGTTTTTAATACTATAAAATTGTAAAAAACTGTGATTTAAATAAAATAATCGCTTATTCGTAAACTTTTTTTAAGAAAAAATTAAAATCTTACAACGGAAAAAACATTTCAGATTAATTTAGTCATAAATCTTGTCACAAAACAAAAGAAAAATTAGTAAAAAGTTCAAAAACTTTTAACATATTGTAAAACTAAAAATATCACAAATTGTAATATACACAGTTTAATATAAAAGTTGGGAATAAGCCCACCTTTTTGTCACCTGCTTGAATTAATTTTTAAAGAAAAAAGTTATTTTTTTACTAAAATCAAATTAAAACATTTAATTCAAAATTCAATTAATTCTAATTTATTTCCACTAGTTAAATTTCTATATGAAACTGCAAAAGAAAGATTTTTTGATTTTTTATTAAGATTGATTTGAGACAATGATTAACAAAACATTGAGAATAAGCAACACAAAATTATTTAAAAAAAAAAAAGAAAAAAAAAGTTTGAGATAGAATAAATTTAGAAGTTGAGAATGAGACCACCTTTCTGACACCTTGAATTTTTTTTAGAATTTTTATACCAAATTATTAACAAATTTATTATTTTACGAATTTTGAAAGTACCTATTCCTGTTCATTATTTAAAACTTTTACTTTTTATTAAATATTGTGCAGTTTTTGTAAAAAAATGTCAAACAGAATAGTTTAGACCATTAGAAGTAGAAAATAATAATTTCGTTAATTGTAACTTGCAAGATAAAAAAATATAAAGCAGGAGCTCACCTTTTTGCCACCTCCTTGTGTTATTTAAAAAAAAAATTTACAAAAATCAAATTATAACATTTAATTCAAAATTAAATTAATTCCGATTTATTTACACTGTATTTAAATTTCTAATTAAAATTGTAAAAAAAATATCATTTCTGGATCGATAGTTAAGAATAGGCCCACCTTTCTGAGATATTTTGTTAAAAAAATAAAATTTTTACAATTGAAAAACATTTCCGATTAATTTAGTCATAATTTTCTTATATCACAAAACTAATTATTATAGAAATAAAAAAAATCATCAATTGTAATTCACAAAAAAATTGACAAGAGCAACCGGGAATGAGAATAAACCTACCTTTTTGCCACCTCCTTGGATTTTTTTTGAAATTTTTACAAAAAATCGAAGAACTTTTAATTCAAAATTAAATTATTACTAAATTTTCTACGTATTTACTATTTATTATTCTGAATTTTTGTTTTAATTTTTAGTTATAAAAAATTATCAAATAACATAGATTAGACAAGTAGAAAATAATAATTTATTTACACTGTATTTAAATTCCTATTTAAAATTGCAAAAAAATATATTTTATTAAGATCGATTTAGTGAACTTATAGATTGGAAATGAGCCCACCTTTTTGCTACCTTCTTGGATTTATTTTAAGACAAAAGTAAAATTTTTACAAAAATCAAATTATAACATTTAATTCAAAATGAAATTAATCCCGATTTATTCACACTATTTAAATTTCTATTTAAAATTGTAAAAAAAAGTTTTTATAATCCCTTATTATTTGTATTGATACTTTATTTAAAAGTTAAGAATGAGCCCACCTTTTTGCCACCTTCTTAAATTTTCGGTAATTTTTACAATTGAAAAAACTTTTCTGATTAATTTAGTCATAATTTTCTTATGTCACAAAACTAATTATTATAGAAGTAAACAATCAATTGTAATTTGACATCAAAACAACCTAGAATGAATCTGAAATGAGAATGAACATACCTTCTTGCCACCTCCTTGGATTTTTTTAGAATTTTTACGAAAAATCTTAATTCAAAATTGAAGTATTACCAAATTATTTACGTATTTACTATTTATTACTCTGAATTTTTGTATTGCTGTCCATAATTTGAAACTTTTACTTTTCGTTAAATATTTTGCAGTTATAAAATTGTCAAATAAAATAGATTAGAACATTAGACAAGTAGAAAATAGGTAATAATTTCGTTGACTGTAATTTTTGGCAAAACAAAAAAATATAAAAGTAGAAAGCCCACCTTCTTACTACCTTCTTGGACGTTTTTAGAAAAAAAAAAAAGTTAAACTTTCACAAAAAAACTAAATTAGTGACAATTTATTTAGATTGTATTTAAATTCCTTTTAAAAAAATATTCTATTAAGATTGATTTGGTAAACATAAAAATTGGAAATGAGCCCACCTTTTTGCCACCTTCTTGGACTTGTTTCTTTAAGGAAAAAGTAGTTTTTACCAAAAACCGGATTAAAACAATTTTTAGTTATGATTTTCTTATGTCACAAAACTAATCAAAGTAAAAAAAAATCCTCAATTATAATTTGCATTTTTTTTTAACTAGAAACAGAGTGTTTCAAAATTAATGCTATTTATTGCACTAGAAGCTAGAGTATTACGCCCCGCCCACTCACCCCATATCCGCTAGCAACTCGTACAATTTCTTGCCCCCTCGATGCGACCACAGCTTCATTTTGCACGCCGTATACATGGAATACTTGAGACTCTCCTCAACAGTCCAATGTCTATACAAAACTAATTTCAAATCTTTCTCATAAGTGATTTTAAGTGAGGTTAAACCGTCACTGTCACTAGATCGGTTTTTGAGCCGATTCGAATGCGCTTGTAATTCCCCCACAGCTAGAACATACTGCGTATTCTCAATTTTCCCTAAAAGAAACTGCTCCGTTATAGCCACGATTGCCAACCAAAGCAAATCTTTATCATCCTTATTCAAAAACCAGGCAAGTTTGAACATTGCAATAGCACTCTAGAACAAAATCGTTATTTTGTGTCACAAAATTGGGGAAAAACTACAGCTTTGTTATAGTAAGTGTATTGGGAGTATTCTGCGATGATATCAAAGCGTTTGGCCTCCCAAAGGCGGCGCTCGCGTCGTTTCAAAATCGCTTCTTCGTTTAATCTCCGTTTTTTCGCTGCTCGCCCCTCATTTTCATCACCTTCTTCACTTTCGGGCTCTTCACCGCTTTCTTCATCACTCTGTAACGACAAGGTTTAAATCTGGGGTGGCACATGGGGGCTATAGACCTCGTCACGGTACACTGAATGAAAATCAGGCACTTCGGAATCCTCCTCTGGGGTCCACAACAACCGCACTTGCCCGTCACTGAATATATTATCCAAGTGTGTGGGTCTGTGTGAGTCTATAATGAAGAAAATCGCGTCCTCTTCCGGCTCAAACAAGTCCACAAGGTTCACAGTGCCCCCACAATTTATCAAGACGAAATATTTCACGTCGGTGCTGTTTTCCCGGTAAGAACGCTTCAAGTCCTCAACGCCACGGATCACGGTTAGTGTGTAGAGAATTTCCTTGTATTTTAACAAGTTTTGGAGGATTTTACAAGCACAAATGCTGTCGATGTCGTAGTGGACCATTAGCAAAATTCGCTGAAACGGCAAGTAAATCAATGAGACAAACAAAAAGTACACTTACTTTGCCTGTGAGAAATTCGTAAAAGTCATGTTTCAAGTCTTCAACGTACATTTTAAACACAATTTTTAAAATTGGGAACGGCGCATCATAACCTCAAAAAGCGCCAAAACAAACCGTTGCTGGGGGTGGGAGACGCAGTGACACCAACATAAAAATAAAACTAAGAATTATTGCCTGATTTCAATAATTTTAAAAGTGGGACCGTGCGCAAAAAACAATACAAAAACCAGAAACCACCAAAATAATTAAATTATGCTACTATAATAAAAAATTCAAAATTGAGAAGTCCCTAGATAATTGTTTTTACAATTAAGTTTAATGTTTTTTGCTTGGTTTCGACAATATTTAATATTTTGTTTGCCAAACAAACACTAAAAAATTTAAAAACTTGCAAAATAAATTAATTACGCCACTATATAAAAAAAACCTGACTTAAAAAAAGTCCCTAGAAAAGTTTCCAATTTCCAATAACCTCAATTTGAAGCGATTAATTAATCGTAAGATAGCACATGTTAGTAGTAAATAAACACAATGTCGCGTCCTGAGCATTTGGCGCCCCCCGAAATCGTGAGTAATTAGTATAAAATGTGCCCCTTGTTTAACCTAACCTCACTTTTAGTTTTACAACGAAGATGAGGCCCGGAAATACACTCAAAAGTAGGTAGAGGACCGGTTTTGGGCCCCCATTCTTTTACTAATTTGTTTTAGCTCCCGCATTATTGATATTCAGATGTCGATGAGCGAACGTGCTGTGGAGCTTCTCTTGTTGCCTGAAGACAAGCCCTGTTATTTGCTTGATGTGGGGTGTGGGTCGGGGCTTAGTGGGAGTGTGCTTGAAGATGGGGGGCATTTTTGGGTCGGGATGGACATATCCAAGGCCATGTTAGGTGATTTTTCACCCGGAAATGAGTTATTTTTAATGTTGTTTTTGTAGATGTGGCCCTTGAAAGGGAGGTCGAGGGTGATGTGTTGTTGTCAGACATGGGGCAAGGGTGCCCCTTTAGGGCCGGGACGTTCGACGGGGCGATTAGCATCTCGGCGTTGCAGTGGTTGTGCAATGCTGATAAAAAATCGCATAATCCGGTTCAAAGAATTTATAAATTTTTCAGTAGTCTTTATGCGTGTCTGGTTTGTTTAAAGCACAGTTTTAAGAGTTTTTTTACTATTTTTGGGGTTTTTAGAGCCGGTCTGCGCGTGCTGTTTTCCAGTTTTATCCGGAAAATAGCGAACAAATGGAATTGGTTACAGCCCAAGCGATGAAAGCGGGGTTTTATGGGGGGGTTGTCGTCGATTTTCCTAATTCAACTAAAGCGAAAAAGTTCTTTTTGGTATTGATGACGGGAGGAAACGTGCCGTTGCCCAAGGGATTGGGGACAGAGGAGGAATCACAAGGTTGGCTTAAAAATTTTTTGAAAATTACAATTTTGTCTAAAATTTAATCGAAGAAAATGAAAAGAAAACAGGTTTTTAGCGGGATTCGAACCTCGTTCACAACGGTCATGTTTTTGAGTTTTGTCATTGTTTATTATTTTTTTGGAAATTTTTGGGTGGGGGAATTGAATCATGTAATTTGCGACTTCAGGGGGCAAATTAAATTGAATCGGAACCGTGATTAACGAATGAGTTAATTAAAAAAGAAGAAAAAAAAACATGTTCTCAGCGGGATTCGAACCTCATCCACAGCGGTTATGTTTTNTATTATTTTTTTGGAAATTTTTGGGTGGGGGAGTTGAATCAAAACCGTGGTTAACGAATGAGTTAATTAAAAAAATAAAATAAAACAGGTTTTCAGCGGGATTCGAACCTCGTCTACAGCGGTCATGTTTTTGAGTTTTGTTATTTTTTATTATTTTTTTGGAAATTTTTGGGTGGGGAAATTTAATCATATAATTTGTGACTTCAGGGGACAAATAAAATTGAATCGAAACCGTGATTAAATAATGAGTTAAAAAAAAAAAAGAAAAAAAAATAGGTTTTCAGCGGGATTCGAACCTCGTCCACAGCGGTTATGTTTTTGAATTTTGTTATTGTTTCTTATTGTTTTGGAAATTTTTAGATGGGGATTTGAATCACGTAATTTGTGACTTGAGGGGGCAAATACATTGCCTCCTACTAATTAAAATTAAAAAAATTAAAAAAAAAGATTAAAATTATAAAAAGTAGATTTACAAAGTACACACTTTAGTTTTTGTTTTTTTTAATTAGTTTTACGTAGTGCAGGATTTAAGTACAATATTCTTCTCAAAACTCAAGAATCAAATTTGATTAAAAAGAAAAAACGAAAAAAAATTTAATATACATATTTAAAAAATCGTTAACAATATAAAATTTGAAAAATGCAAAAATGTTTTCAAATATTCTGCAATGTTTTTGTGAAAAAAAAAACTCGCCGCCATCGGGGCCCGAACCTACATTTCTCAGTTTTGAACATTTGGCATTAATTCAGCCATAATTTTTCCGTATTACAAAAATTAAAGTGAGTCGTTAATGATTTGTAATTAGTGATTTTAGCAAATTATGTTGGTGGAAAATAATTTTGTTAATTGTTTTTTGCAAAACGAATTGAAAAAAAAGAAAAATTTGGTTTGTCAGGTGTGGGGTTCGAACCCACGCTCTCTTTCGAGAACCAGAGCTTAAATCTGGCGCCTTAGACCGCTCGGCCAACCTGACTTGTGTAATACATCTGCACAGCTTGTAATTAAACTACTAAGGTTGCACAATATTGCGTTTTGTGTTTTTATCAATTCTTAATTTAGAAATTGTATCAAAACATTTTAATTGCTTTTCCCAGGTGTTTCATACATATCTAAACGAGAGCATGCGAAAAAAGCGCGTGGAAAACCGTTAAAGAAGAGCCGGGATTGGATTTTAGAAAAAAAAGAACGTCGACGGAGACAAATGAAGGACGTTAGGGCCGATTCGAAATATACAGGGCGGAAAAGAAGCGGCAGATTTTGATTTTTAATAAAAATGTACCATAAATAATCTTAAAAATTAAAGATATTATCACACAGAATTGATGTTTATTACCAAATTCACTTGAATAATTAAAAATAAGTTGTCGAGTTTGTCAAAATCATTACAAATACAAAAAAAAAAGAAAAAAGTGAACGGGCCTGTCCGGGATTTGAACCCGGGACCTCTCGCACCCGAAGCGAGAATCATACCCCTAGACCAACAGGCCGTTGAAATTCACCTCTTAAAAAGAGTAAATTCAGATGCATCCAAAGCTTCGTTTTCCTCAATTTTTTTTAAATTTCATCTAAATTATCAAATAATCACATTAATTGTCACAACTAGCCGAAACAGGGCGTGAATAATTCAGCCCGGGACCGACCCAAGTCTAGTAATTTTTTATTTTCAACCGTAGTTTCCTCCTTACATAACCTCAAATTGCGTCAAAATACAATCGTGAAAAACTTCAAAAACAACAATGAGCTCGCAAGACCACCCTCGAGACATCTACAAAGACACTCCCATTCGATTATTGGGTAAGTTTAATTCAATTCATTCAAAATGACATAATTTGGGGCTCTCAGGCTACGCTAACGAAGTGGGTGAGTCTTTGAGGGGTTTTATTGGGACGAAATGGGTCAACATTTCATACGGAGTGGCCACATTGTACGTTGTTGCTGACACAATTGACAAAACGGGTAAAACATACGTTGTATGACAGTGGGATAGTTAAGGGGGCCCTTTTATCGCAATTTTTGTTACAGAACAATTCAGGAAAGGCGGGTTGTGTCAAAAAGACTGTTTTCGCAGCCACTGATACGCTAATTTGGCAAATGTTGGCTTCAGTCGTCATTCCAGGATACACAATTAACCGGGTGTGTGCTTTAAGTGATTTTGTGTTGACCAAAACGGCCAAATTACCCACAAATAGCAGAAAAATGATTGTTACAGGAGTTGGTCTAGCTGTGATTCCGTTTATTATTAAACCCATAGATAATTTAGTCCATTTAATGCTTGACTCTAGTCTGAGAAAAATAGCCCCCTAGAACTAAAAAAAAAGCATGAGTAGGTATAAAAATTAGCTCAATTGTTAATTATCAATTTGAAAAAAACTAGTGTTGTTTGTTGCAACGTGTGGTAGCCCTGTCTAGTGACTAGTGAAAAACCACAAATCAAGTGTTGTTATTGTTGCTTAAATAAATTAAAAGTGTTGCAAAATTGGTATTTTCGAGGAAATAGAAATGTCCAAAGCTAAAATAATTGAACTGGACGAGACAAACACATGCGAATTGTAATTATAGCAAGTTGTCGAAAGTGAGGTTAGGTCATTGTTGACATTTCAGTTGTTCCAATGCTTTGGCCAAGTATACGTGTCCCAAATGCAAGTCAAAATACTGTACATTGGTGTGTTATCAATCGGAGAAGCATTTACAATGTTCGGAGGAGTTCTACAAGGATTGTATAGTCGAGGAATTGGCTCAGGAGGACAATGAAGAAGGCAAGAAAAAAATGTTGGAGATTTTGAAACGGAGTCATTTGGAAGAAGATGATTTGGATTCCGACGATGATGAGTTTGCTGATATTGCCGTGAGACTAGCTGGGGTTGATTTGGACGACGCCGACCAAGTCTGGGAGAAATTGACCAAAGATGAAAAACAGGAGTTTGTCGCGTTTTTAAAGTTGGTACCACTTCTTAGAAACTTTATTTTCAAGTTTTCGACAATATTTCGTTTCACGCTAGGGTTTTTTGTAATGCTTTAGAAATTTTGTTTAAATTTACTAAAAAAATTGTCAGTGTATTATCGACTGCGTTTCTTCAGAATTTTTTTGGTAATTAAATAAAATAAAAAGCACGGAATTAATGAGAGACAAACAACAGGGGAAAGTTGGTATAACTTCTTAGATTAGAATTTTCGATGAAATAAAAATTCGCACCAGTTTTTTTGGAAGAAAACTATGTAATAGTGGCAGGTGGCTGTTTTATCGGCCGAAAAGAAAATTTTTGATTTTGTTCCAGATCCGAAGACGTGACGAAATTAATCCCATCGTGGGAGCCTTGGTGGTCCCACAAATCCCCAAATGTGGAAGAAGTCGAGTCATGCCAACAGTACAAATCTAAATGTCCCCAACTAATCAAAATTCGTAATTTTCGGGAAATTTCGGTGAAATTTTTGTTTTGTTTTTATTTTATTATTTTAATATAGAATTTTTAGAAAAAAGACCCAGCCGATTGTGTCAAATACAACTTAATCAACATTCTCGCTGCTTACGCTTTTGCCACTCGTTACTTCAACGGCGAATATCACGATTTCGCCAAAGAAGTGATCAGTTGTATTGTTACAATTTCTCTAAGTTTGAAAACCAATCAGAATTTCGACGACTTTGAAAGTGCCGTGAAATCAGTTGAATTTGAGTGTATTAATGTGAGAAATCTCCCGAGTGACATACTTGATTTTTACTGTATTTTTCAGAGTGATTGGATTGTGGCCGATGGTGAAAACTTTAAATTATTACGAGACGATTTGAGTAAAATCCTCGAAGGTCCGAATGAAACTGAGCGAAATTTTTACGTCCTGTGTGCCCTTTCGGACTTACATCAATTACTCAACTCGGCTGGTGTGAAAAAAACGGAAAAGAAATCGTCGTTTAGTAAGAGTTTTCCCAATGATTGCTTCCCAGAGGTAAAGTTAGAGTCGAAAAATAAAATCAAGACTTGTCTCCGAAAAATCGATTATTTATTGTCATTCGCTAAAGATTTATTGTGAGTTATTTTTTAACAATTTGCGGTTTAAAATCACTCTGGACGGCTTTTGCCAAGAGTTCGGCGTACATATCCAGTCTTTGGGTCATCTGTAATATTTTTGTTAAAAAAAAATTGGAAACCAACAGTGTTAGTGTTATAACCTGGAAGCCCCAATGATCCCTAACTTGCCGACAGAGATTCAAGTCCAGTTCGGCTATCAACAGCCCGGTTTTGTCCCGAGATAATCCCTAGAATTGGGTTTTAACTAAAGTTTTTTTTTTTTTTGTGAAACTTACTTGTGATCTTGAACCATCGGGGGCTGCTATGTAACTGGAGCCGTAGAAATGACCGAAATCTCTATGAGCGGGCTTGCCATCACCGGAAGTGAATTCATTCTCGAAGACTTCAGTGCCAACACGGTTAATGGCACATGTGAAGTAGCTGTTGGCAATGGCCGCATTTCGGGCCTCTATGCCCCACAAGGGCTCACTTAAATCACCCACTGTTGCGGAGGGGTTGAAGACGATTTCGGCCCCGTTTAGACCGAACATGAGCCAATTGAGGGGGTGGTGGCGTCCGTAGCAGATATTTATAGCGATTTTGCCAAATTCGGTCTAAAAAATGCATTTTTCCATGGTAAATACCAGAGATAAAGGGTAAGTATCCTATATCAATTGTCTGCTTTTATTGCAAAGAATTCATCTATCAAATTAAATACAGGATGTTCCATTAAAAAAAAAGCAACTTTGACTTGTCCCGTAGTTATGTGACACCCTGTAGATATCAAAGAAATGTGAAAATGTGACCAGAATAAAGCTCTATACAGTGGCGAAAACAATTTTGCGTTATTTTTTTAAATAAGGGCACAATCGTATTTTTCTCAAAAAACTGCGCATCCTGTATACGTGAATTTTACCTGAAAAACGGGATGTCCGGTGTTTCCCTCAAAATAGTAAGTCGATTCGTTAAAATCCCCAACTCTGGGTATGTGATTTTTACGGTGTTTCCCCAAAAAATCGCCATAATTATCAATGACCACAGCCGTGTTCCATATTGTGTCCCCATGGACTTCGTCCCGTTCCAAAATAGGTGAAATCACGACCATATTATGACGTTTGGCCAACTAAAATAATTATTTTATTGTGGACACCAAAGTACGATTTTTTTTTACTTGTTTCAAAAAAATCGTAGTAGGCCCGAACTCGGCCAACTCCGCATACTCACACCACGGTTTTTTTTCCCGTGTACAAAACGCAAATGGCATATCTTGAAAAAAAAAGACAGTCGGGGTGTAAAATCTCCTCTGACTTACTCCAAGCCTCCTGGAAACAAAACACATTCACGCCCCCTTGCGCCGCCGTCTCGATCGCTTTTTCGGCCAGCTTGAAAAGCCCATCTCGCATCTCCTTGATGGGGGTGTTGGGGGGAAGGGGTAGTTTGTGCTGGAAAATCCCCACACGGACGATTTTTGGCGGTCTTAGTTGTTCAGGAGAGGCCTTGAAACGACAAGTGACCAGTTCAAGGTCATAGTCGCTTGCTTTTGTTTCAGCATCGGGTAAATCAAGGCGGCTGCGATTTGTTTTAAGTGCTGTCATTGGAATCATAGTGGGCTTACCTTGTAGCTTTGCCGAATAACACGTTTCGGACGTTTTGGTAATCATCAGGAGGGAGTTTTGATAGGATTTTTTCAATGCTAGTGAAGTGTTGCTGAGAAGACATGATGCTATGCCAAGATTTTTAAAATAGAATTAATGTTTATTTATCACGTGACGTCACAAGGACATGACCCTATCAGAGTTGATAATGCTGACTTGAATAATTCATTTATATTTGTGTAAATATTTTATTTGCTTAATTACTTAAGAGATATTTCTATTGTTTGGTTTATCTATTTTCTGGGAGAATATTTAATAAAAAAAGTTCTCGTTTTTTATTTGTTTACAAATGTTATAAATAATTTAAATTTTATTCAAATTTGAATAGAAATATGGCAGTCACCTGTTTTATCGGCCGAGTCCTCTTAAATTGTTTTTAATAATTTTTAATTGTTGGACACTATAGCATTACTAGGGAATGAGTTTAACGTTGTAAATAATAAATACAGGTCAAAATTTCCCATTTGGGGCCCCCACATCCGTTTATTGAAAAAATAAAACGTAGTTTTTAACAATCCCTATTTTACCGGCCGAGCTTCTAGATTTTTAGAAAATAAAATTAAAAAAGACGCGGGAGAAGCATAGAACCACCAATGGATCCATTTTGTGTTGCAGATAATTAAATACGGGTGAAAACCGTCCATTTGTGTCCCTTCTTGCGGCCCCATCGTTCCAAAGTTCTAGTAAATTCCGCTTTCTTGTGTTGGTATTGTCACCATTTGACATCTGTCAATGCCATAACCGAGATGTTTGTGCCTTATTTGTTGTTGTTATTTTACGGTTAAAAAATGTGTTAGTTGTAAGTAAAGCGAGATTATGTTAGAGAAAATGTCTCCGTTTCGTAAAAAGAAGTCCGAGAAGAGTTTCCCCGTGAAAGTGTGCACTTTGGACGCCGAATTGGAGTTCAATTTACAAGTAATGTTTGTCGAATTTTATCAAAATTTGTGCAATTTTCGCATTGTAGTGGCGAGCCACCGGCAGGGATTTATTCGAATTGGTGTGTCGCACGATCGGATTGCGTGAGACGTGGTATTTCGGTTTGCAATATGAGGATTCCAAGGGGTTTATCAATTGGTTGAAATTGGACAAGAAAGGTTGGCCTTGTGATTACAGGGGCCCCAAAATGACGAGTGTGTTTCAGTGCAAGACCAGAGCATTCAGAAAGACCCCCACAGTACTGTCTCCTTCATGTTTTTCGCCAAGTTTTACCCCGAGGAAGTGGCCGAAGAGCTTGTGCAAGAAGTGACAAAACACTATTTTTTTCTTCAAGTCAAGCAGGCGATTCTCTCTATGGACGTGTATTGCCCCCCTGAGGCCTCCGTCTTGCTGGCCAGTTACGCGGTCCAAGCCAAGGTAAATACTTTGAGGTTGTGTTTCCCCCTGTCTAACAGCCCCCAGTTTGGAGACTTTGATCTAGATACGTACAAACCGGGAATGTTAGCAAACGAGGATTTGTTACCCCAGAGGGTCATTGACCAGTATCAAATGACTCTAGATATGTGGGAGGAGAGGATTAGAGTGTGGTATTCGGACCATAGGGGCATGTCGCGAGACGAGGCCGAAATGGAGTATCTAAAAATCGCACAAGATTTGGACATGTACGGTGTTAATTATTTTCCGATAATGAATAAAAAAGAGACTGAGTTGTGGCTAGGTGTGACCCCACTTGGACTAAACATCTACGAAAAGGAGAATAAACTACAACCAAAAACAACATTCACGTGGGCCGAAATCCGACATATCAGTTTCGACGACAAGAAATTCATCATTAAACCAGTTGATAAAAATTCCCCAAATTTCGTCTTCTTTAGTCAAAAAGTCCGAATGAATAAATTGGTAAGTGGGCGTGGTGTCAGTAGGCGTGTCTAAATCCCACTTCTAGATCCTTGATTTGTGCATGGGTAACCATGATTTATTCATGAGACGTCGAAAACCCGACTCAATGGAACTTCAGCAAATGAAAGCCGCCGCCAAGGAAGAGAAACAACGACGTCAAATCGAGCGAAATCGTCTCGCCCGTGAAAAACAATTGCGCGAAGAGGCGGAGCGTGAGAGAGCCAATATGGAACAACGCCTGCTCCAATACCAGGAAGAAATCCGATTGGCTAATGAAGCATTGGTGCGTGTTGATTGGTGTAGTTAACCACGCCCCTTATTTTTAATTTGTAGAAACGTTCCGAGGAAAGCGCTGATTTGCTAGCGGAGAAAAGTCGCGTCGCTGAAGAAGAAGCAATTCTTCTGAGTCAGAAAGCGGCCGAAGCCGAACAGGAAATCACCCGTTTGCGTCTCAGTGCGATGCGAAAAGAGGAAGAAAAAGTCACTTTGGAGCGAAAAACTCGCGAAGCTGAATTATTAACGGCTCGATTAGTGGAGGATTCGGAGCGAAGAGCAGCCGAAGCGAATCGACTCAAAGAGGAATTGTTGAGGGCGAGAGCCGCTGAGAAACAAGCCAAAGAGAAGTTGTTGGATTTTTTAAGTCGGGGGTCTTATTCGTCCTCGGCTACGAGTCCGATTTCGTCCGTTTCGACGCTGTATTCGGCCTCGTTGGGGGCGGATTTGTCGCTTCTGGACGGCGATTTGGGGACTTCCCCTGAGCTGAACCTCACACTCAACGGCTACGACTTGACCAACGCCGACACGGATCAATTATCGCTTGAGATAGAGAAGGAAAGAGGTTTGTGTTTGGAGAAACAGAAGCATTTGCAACACCAATTGCGCGAGCTTCGCACCGAAATCGCGGTGTTGAAAGTGGCCGAAAAACAGACCGAATTCGACCAATTGCACAGCGAGCAGGTGAAACTCGGCGAAAACAAATACTCGACGTTGAAAAAGAGCAAATCTGGCTCGACGAAATCCCGCGTGGCCTTCTTCGAAGAACTGTAATTTTATTTAAAATAAAATAAATTTTATTATTTTCTACTCGTTTCGCATTGATTTGAATTTCCCGCGGCCTCGAACAGGTGTTATGAGATCAAGTTACCTTACAAGAACAAGTAGATTCTCAGTTGTTTCGTGACCTTTCACTAGCTATCTTGATTTAAATGTTGTAGAGAGAACGGTTTGCGGCGCAGGAGAATCGCAGTGTTTGTGAAGAGCACACCACAGCCCCCTTGGATGCGTAAGTAGTTTTTGGTCCAGTTTCGGTTAGTGCCGTTTCGGTTCGGGAAAAATGCGCACAAAGAGTCGAAGGTGAGCCGGTTGGTGTAAAAATCAAGCGTCACGTGATCGCGATGCTCATATTTTTTTATTAGTCGAGTGAGAGTACTGGAATCATGAATGAAAAGCTGGTGAATGACCTACCTAGAGTTTGGTGACGTAATTTCTTAGATATACCGCCCACAGGTGTGTTTTTGTGTCTCGATGTGGTTTATTTATTGGGCTGCAGGAAAAAGTGGGCCTTGGTTTGTTGAATGGTGAAAGCAAAGCGGCAACAGCGCGGTTTCTGTTGACTTGAATTTTTTTCCCTTGCGTTTTACGTTATTAATTGCTAATTATATGGATATTGTTGGGTGGCCTTGAATGACCACAAAGAATGTTTATTGATAGGTTTTCGATTCGTTTGACTATTTTTTAGTACCAGTCGAGGCAAGTTTCGACCGGATTCGGACAATTCACAAAAAAAACCTTTAAAATGAATAAATAAAATAGATAAAAATTACCACAAAAATGCGCAATCATTTGTTTTATAACGTCAAAAAAATATAAATTTCGAATTTTTTTACTCAAAGAAATAAAAAAAAATAATCGTAAAAAAGCGTATTATGTAGTGGGGTCTAATTTCGGATCAAAGTGACCCGTGACTTTAATATCAAGTTGGCAGTCCTGCATTATTGGTGATATTAAAGTAATAAAGAATACCATGTTACAATTAAATTTCTGATCAAATAGCCTATGACTGAAATTAAGTTGGCAACATTGACTATCAAATTGAAACATCACATTTTGTGATGTATTGGCAACATAATATTAAATTCACCGGTCACTTTGATCCCGAAATTTACCTATTAATTTAATCATTGAGATATAATTTTTTAAAAATGGATTTGAAATAAAATTTCACCTATGATTCGAAAATTGAAAAATGCGTCACCTCACAATCACAGACCATTTGGTTTTTAAATGTCACCCTGTATGTATAATAGAAAAACGTAAAAAAAAAATCTGGACATCTTTCACTTTAATATTTAAAATAGTGACTTTTAATTAATCTACTGGCAACACTGAATTATTGGTTATCCTTTTAATTTGTTATATTAATGTGATGATGGCTAAATCAGCAGTCGCCCGTCGCAATTAAATGACAATTGCCAATTGACGTTTGAATTTGAAAGTCAAGGTTGCCAAACTAAAATTTTCAATTTGACACAAAAATCACAATCATTTATAGTCACCCTGTATTTATTAGCATAGTGACGTAACTTGTAAATCGCTCGATAATTAGTAATAATTACGGCGAATTGACGTTTTCAAATCACTTCGAAATGTTCGAAAGCCATTAAAATTTTTCTTTAATTTGTGATAACAACTCGCGTGCTGTAATTTTCCGATAAAAACCGCCTAAATGTCAGTTTCGGTCTATTGACCTGCAATTAAGCCGAAATTTGATATTTATAAAATTACACTTAATTACAAATCCCGAGCGTAAAACCGATCCATCTGTTCACTTGAACTCATTTAAGCCGTCTGCAACAGCGCAGACATAACGGTAAATCCCTCAAGCAACATAATAAATAACGTCAACCACTCATTATGAAAAAAAACTCAACTGAATCACTAATCGGACATTTTACAGGTGTTTTTTTACCATGTTGATTAAAATCATCGTGATTTGTTCGGCTTTGGCAGCTTTTGCCGAACCACAACACAAGGTATAAACATCAAATTTATTATAAAGAAATAAGAATTTTATTACAGGTCCACAATATTATTTTGTACCCTGAGAAATACTCCTGGTGCCAAACCACCCCCATCCAACAGGTGGTGGCATCCCCAGGATACGAATCCGTCACAATTCACAATAATGTGTGCGTGGGGGCATGCTATAGCTATAGCATTCCTAGCACACAACCAGCCGAACCCGGGGAACTACTAGGGCCCTATTGCGACAGCTGCCAACCTGTTGAAACCAAATGCTATCACGTAGGTGTATTGTTGGTTGCATATTTTACACAACTGGACGTTTGTCGTAACTAGTTGCACATCTGTCACCTAGTGAATTGAACGATTTTTGAACACTTTAAATAGGGATTATAGCAAATTTTTTCGACAATTGATTGGAATTCAGCAGTGACAACACTTTTAGGACCGTATTTGCATTTTTTTTTACTTGTCGCCTGTCATTTGATCAAACGTAGCAATCTATACAAGACATACGTTCATAAAATCAAGTTTTTGGTTTTTAAACGAATTAATTACCTTTGGGGCAGTTTTCCGAACTTGAATTTGTCATAATTTCGCACGATTTCTGCAAAAATCTGAAATTTTTGGTGACAATAGACAGGGTTACCACCATTATGCAAAATTGTGATAATTAGTGAAAAATTGCTTTCTTACGCACTAAAATGAACAATAAAGTATTAATTAGCTTGGGGGTGACTTACCCGAATGTTAATTAGACTGAATTTTGCCATTTTTCAACAAATTTGATTAAAACACATTCAGTCGCAGGTGGCTAACAACAGGGCTACCACACATTTTGCATGAAACCTGAAACTCCCTTGTGTGAAATTTTGAAAAATTGCTTGCTTTTAATGTACTTAAATGGATAATTATCTTAATTGCCTTTGGAACAGTTTGTTAAACTATAATTTTGTGCAATTTTCGCAATAAATTTGCTAATTTATTAAATACCAACCTGACAAAACAAGGGCTATTTGAAGGACGCCGATCATTTTTTAATTTTTTCTAGGTCACTTTGCATGCTGATGGTAGAAACACCGAGGGCCCCAAGACGTTCCAAAAACGCGTCCAAATTATCCTCAAGTGTTCATGCATGTCGTGTGAGAAATACCACCGTGAGGATTGCGAAATCACCGATCAGACCACTCTTGAATTGCCTCAAGACCTCTTCACTAACAAGAGTCAGGAACCCAAACCCGAGGAACCTCCCGAATTGCTCGACCTTGTTTCAAATAGAAAAAAACGTCCGGTAAATCCCAATTTCAATATTGCCAACACAACTAACGAACAGCGCTACCAACTTAACACGAAACTGATAAATTTGTTGAAAAGTATTCAAAACGAAGGAGAGGACAGTAATATAAGCTACGATAAGGAGCAGTTAAGGGACTTGTTGAAGTTGATTGAAGGGTCTGAGGAGGAATTGAGTGATAAAAACTTGATGGAGTTTGTGAATTTTGTCAATGTGCATAATTCTGAGGACTTGGAGTTGGATTTGAGTCGACTTAAGGACGTTTTGACTAGTTTTCAGAAAACCCAGAACATTTTAGACAAACATAGGGACTTTGGTTTTGGCCAAAATCAGAAAAATAATGTCAAAATCGAGCAGGATTTGAAGAAATATAATCTCCCTAAAACTTTCGGCTTGGAGGAGAGTCATAGACACCACCATCTCGGGGACGAGGTCCATGTGGGGCTGGACGTGGGGCATCTCGTCAAGGGCCCCCACGGCAGCATGGTCCTCTCCCCCAACCTCAAAGTCGAGGAGAAGCTAAACATCGATTCGGATGTGTTGAAACCCAACCACGACGGCGTTGTTATCACCTACGAGAATCACAGGAAGGGCAACGATATTCTCACAAATTAATTCCCCAAATTGGACATTTCGAGATTCTAGTCGTGTGAAATTCAGCTTTGCCGTCGCTCTAGTATTAGAAAATCTTAAATACGTAACTTTACTGTCTCTTCAAACATACAGCTTTAAGTAGTACAAAAAGGATTTTTGAAAAAAATCAGTGTACAGTACAATTAGCGTTTACTAATCCGGACTAACAAAATTATTCGATTCAAAACTGTGGTATTTTAGCTCTTTTGTCTAAGTTATCGAAATTGCAAGGGCTGTGTGCTTTTTTTAGTCAAAATATTTTTACTTTCTTTACTTTGTTATCATAGTTTTATATATTTTTATGTACTAATCTGTTTTAACGAAATATAATATATTCCATTTCCACTACTAGGCTTTTCATCCAGAGTTAAGAATTTATTTGACATTTAATTCCCTAGAACGTAACAAAATTCCCTAAATCTAGGTCTGGCAACCCTGGTTGTCAAGACCACGAAAACTTTTTGAACATTTTTTTCAAAAGTGCGGTTGAGAATAAAATTGTATACAAACCTCTGTAGAAAGTTTGTATGTCGGTAAAGGTGACAGAAATAAGACACTTCCCATACGATATGCAATATTCTATTGAGTCAAATAAAGTCAGATACATTTAAAAAATTAAGTCTTTTCGTTTTTTTAAATTGTTTGGGAGAAATTTGGATTGTTTTTCATTATTTTAAATATCTTTCACAGTTACTTATTGCACAAAAAATGAGGAAAACTACAATTGACGGTCTAGTCTATTATTAATAGTAAATTAGTGATTTCCAATGTTCATGGCCGTTGGGAAACACTGATAACTGCATTAAAAAATAGTGCGCGTTCTCTTATCACTTTCTTAATCAATTTGAAAGGTATTTATCTAAAGATAAAGTGATAAATTGCAGAAACTGTTTGACGTGAGATTAGCATTTTTTTGAATAATTGTGTGAATTTGAGGTACCTGTTTAACACCAAGATAACACGTTTTATCAAAAAAAATCGGATCAATGTCCTAATTTCCCTATTGCTTAGATAAACGGTGAGTGTTAATCTCTTATCTTGATCCAAATTCAAAAATAATCCTTTTGTGACGTTTCCTCGTACTAACACAATGAATACTAATTACTCTAATGTCCTCTAACGTGTAAACCTGTGATAAGACCCCACCTTAAGTGAAATTCTCTCACATTTCAGTGTTTTTCTCAGGTAATAGTGGACACGCATCCATTTTGTGTAACTTTCACGTCCCGGATTCCGCATTACATGGCCAGGTGAGAGAAATCAAATTACCGCAATTCAGGTCCTGAAAAACTAAAAAAATTACACTTTTCATGAGTAGTGTGTAATGAGATAATTTGAATTTGGCGGGTGTTGGTATCCGGTCACGTGACTCCCCCCATATGTCACAAGTGTCATTAATCACGATTTTCGTCGTTTTTGAAGCGTGTTGGTCTGAAAATTAATCCAGTGATTAAAAATAAATATCGACCGTAAATAATTCCATGTGTCCTTCACGCAAACGTTTAAAATAGCCCCCGTTTTGCGTGAGCTTAGTGCGATCAAGTGTGCGGTGTCTGAGTGAGAAAATTGCGATTTCCGGCGTTTTTCATGATGAAAATGAAGATTTACAAGGTTTTAATATTAAGTGAAGTCATTAGAAGCCCTTTGACTGTGTTTCGTAGTGAAAAATCGGTTTAGACGTGAAAGTGAGGTTAGGTGACTCAAAGACAGTTTTTTCGTGGTTGATGTTTACCAAGTTGATTATTATGTGTAAGAGTGATTTAAATAGGTACAATTATTTGAGCAAGTGCTTGGATAAAGTCAGTGGGATTGTAACAAATAAGATGCATAATGTAGAGTCGAGCTTTGTCACGTGCAGCATTGGGTACAGGGCAAGGAACGATCCTGGCGACTGACAAAAGTTATTCGGAGGCTGCCAGGATGGCTATTTGACATTGACTTGATGCTTTCCCCCTGGCTGATTCGATGTTTGATGTCCAGGTGAGCCCCCACGTCACCGGTTGCGTCATTGGATTGGTAGTTAATGAGTCATGGGAGTAGGCACAAATTTCTCATTGTTTGTTTGGCTGGAGAATTCGTGACCCCCGAAGTCAAGGATAGCGAACTCGGGTGATAAATTCGTGTTATTGAGAGTTTGGAGTGGCTCAAATTGGAAATGTATCGGCTATGGCCCAGATTTATGGGCTATTTTGAGCCTAAAGGGAGGCACCTGTCTGGATTCCGGTTTGGACTGGATCAATTCATGTAAAAGATACTTTTCGAAGCTTTTTTTTTTCAATTTTCTTTATAAAATTTTTGGGCATATTACACTTCAGGTTTGCCCCAGTTTCAATTTTTTTGTTAATTTGGGACATAATTATTCGAGAAATAATAACTCAGCTTTTTTTCGCACGGTTTTGCTAAGTCGGGTCAAAAAATTACTCAATCGAGTTGAGAACAACGTAATTTTTGTTATGTTCATGGATTTTGAGCTTAAGACTGGTGAAATTTCGCCAAACTGGCTTTTAAAGTCACTAAATTAGTTTTAAAATGTCATTATTTTTGATAAAAATAAATTGAAAAATTACAAAAAATATGTTTATGCATTTTTGAAGCGTAGTAGTATAGAAGTATTTTTATCTACGTTTTGAGCTAAAAATTTAATTTAAAAATATTTTCTCAAGAAAATGGTCGAAAATGCACTTAAATTAACTTAAATTCTCTTGAAAATAACTCAAAAAATCGATCATTTATAGTAAGCACATTTTTGAGCTAATATCTCAGTGTTTTTTTTTGTAAAATTTTGCCAAACTGGTTCCTAAATTCAATAAATTAGTTCGAAAATGCCTTTATTTTTGTATGTTTCAGCTATAAATGATCTGAATAATAACTATATTTGGTCGTAAATGGTGCTATTTTTGCATTTCTGAAGTGTTTAGATATGTTTTGTGCTAAAAACTCTAGTCCTTTTTCAAGATTGTTTTAAACCGGGCGATAAAGCACCAAAATTGGTCGAGAATGCCATTATTTTTTATTTTTTCGAGCTTTTGGGCACTTTTTTTATTTGAAAATGCAATTATTTTGTAAAATTTCTCTAAAGAAAAAACAAAAAATCTCTACATTTGGTGTTATTTTTGCATTTTTTGAGTGTTTTGGCTATAAATAAGCTAAAAAATAACTATATTAGGTCGGAAATGGTGTTATTTTTGGAGTTTTTATGCGTTTAAGTACGTTTTGGGCTTAAGACTTAAGTATTTTCTCGAGAAAATGGTCGCAACTGCCTTTTTTCGAGCTTTTGAGCACTTTTTTTTAATTAGGAGCAGAATTATTTTGCAAAATTTCTTTAATAATAACCCCAAAGGTCACTAAATTTGGTGATATTTTTGCATTTATCGAGCATTTAAGCACATTTTTGAGCTAATATCTAAGTTTTTTTTTGCAAAATTTTGACAAACTGGTTCCTAACATCGTTATATTAGTTCGAAAATATCTTTATTTTGCCTTTTTCAAATGGTGTTATTTTGGCATTTTTTAAGTGTTTAAATATGTTTTATGCTATAAACTTGAGTATTTTCTCGATATAAAAAGCATCAAAATTGGTCGAGAATGCCATTATTTTTCCTGTTTTCGAGTATTTCAGCGCTTTTTAATTTTGTAAAATTTCTCTAAAAAAAATTCTAAATTTGATGTTATTTTTGCATTTTTTCAGTGTTTTAGCACATTTTTGAGCTAAAAACTTAGTTTTGCGAGATATCTCTAAACCGGATCAAAAAAAAAAAAAAACAACAAATTATCTCTCGAAAATAACTGAATATTTGTCTTTTTAACACGTTTTTTTAGCCAAAAATGCAAAACAGTGTTTGTTTTTTTTTTTGAGATGAAAACCAGTTTAAAAGTTTAGCAAATTCGGATCAAAATGACATTATTTGAGCCTTTTTTTTGTGTTTTAGCACGTTTTTCAGCTAGAAACGCAATTATTTCGCAAAATTTTATCAAAAATGAGCCTAAAAGTCACAAAATTACATCGAAAATGTTGCTATTTTTGTTTTTTTCGAGTGTTTCCGCATGTTTTTCATACAAATCATAAATGAGCTGAAAAATTACCACATTTGGTCGAAAAAGATGTTTTCTTTGTATTTTTTGGATTTAATTACGTTTTCAGCTCAAAGCTTAATTATTTTGACTAGATTTTTTTAAACCGGCTGAAAAAACACCATATTTAGTCGAAAATGCCATTATTTTTGTGCTTTTTCGAGCATTTTATCACTTTTTTCAGCTATAAACACAATTATTTTGTAAAATTTCGTTCATAAAAAGGGAGAATTTGGGCGTTTTTGAACTAGAAACGCACTTATTTTGCCAAATTAAAAAAAAAAACTCAAAAAGTTAGCAAATTTGGAGTTATTTTTGTATTTAATGAGAATTTAAGCACATTTGTGAGCTAAAAAGTTATATTTTTGTTGTGTCTTTTTGGAACAATTTTGCTCGTTTTTGAAATGCAATTATTTTGCGAATTGATACTTTTCGAAGCGATTTTTTGCCAATTTTCTTTATAAAGTTGAGAATTTGGAGTTTTTGTGCTTATTACACTTCAGGTTTGCTCCAGTTTCAATTTTTTGTTAATTTGGGACATAATTATTCGAGAAATAATAAAAAATTACTCAATCGAGTTGAGAACAACGTAATTTTTGCTTTGTTCGTGGATTTTGAGCTAAAAACTGGTGAAATTTCCCTAAACTGTCTTTTAAAATCACTAAATTAGTTCTAAAATGCCATTATTTTTGATAAAAATAAATTGAAAAATTACAAAAATTATGTTTATGCATTTTTGAAGCGTTTAAGTATCTACGTTATGAGCTAAAAATTTAATTCAAAAATATTTTCTCGAGAAAATGGTCGAAAATGGTCGAAAATGCCCTTAGCATTTGAGCACCTTTTTCAGTTTGAAACGCAACGATCTTACAAATTCTCTTGAAAATAACTCAAAAAATCGATCATTTATAGTAAGCACATTTTTGAGCTAATATCTCAGTTTTTTTTGTAAAATTTTGCCAAACTGGTTCCTAAATTCAATAAATTAGTTCGAAAATGCCTTTATTTTTGTATGTTTCAGCTATAAATAATCTGCATTTCTGAAGCGTTTAGATATGTTTTGTGCTAGAAACTCTAGTCTTTTTTCAAGATTGTTTTAAACCGGGCGATAAAGCACCAAAATTGGTCGAGACTGCCATTACTTTTCCTTTTTTCGAGCATTTGATCACTTTTTTCATTTAGAAACACAATTTGTAAAATTTCTCTAAAGAAAAACCAAAAAATCTCTACATTTGGTGTTATTTTTGCATTTTTGAGTGTGCACCAATTTTTGTGTGAATTATTGTTTTCATAACTTTATAATCGCTGTCAAATTTAAGATTTATTTAAGATTGGCGGTTGTAATTTTTGGGAATGCAGTGCTACCAATTCGCATTCGCGCAGAATTTATTTTACACTAAATGAATCTTTTTATTGTAAAAATCACAAATTCAACACTTCACCTATTTTATTATTATTATTTGACCCGGCAAAAGAAGAAGAAACCATTTGGCAGATAATTATTTTGAAGACTTAATTTTCTGACAAATAATTTCCACAACTTTTACACTCCACTGACCCGGCGGTTTAGACATGCAGTCAGGCAAGATTCACCATTACGGATATGTTGCTGATAAATTGTTTGAAAAGAGATTAATGTAAAAAAAACAATCTAGCGTCACTGCAGATCTTCCGCCTCGCAACTTAATGAATTATTATTAATTAAGTTATTATTATTAATGTTATTAAAATAAATTTTATTGATATTGCGACATTTTCTAACAATATTACAAGTTTTTAAAATGGTTGTCTTTTGAATCGCAATAATTAAATTTTAATTTAATTTTAAATTACAAGATTTAGTTTTAAATTGTTTGGTAACAGAATAAATTTCTACAAATTTTGAAAAAGGATTTGAGAAATAATACATTTTATCTAAAATACAATTAATTCATATTCATAATTCAATAAATACTTACTGTTGCAGTCAAAAATCACAAATTCACACACTTCATTTTGCAATAAACAAAAAAAAAATAAAAATAAAATGCTCTGACCTTATATGGCATCATCTTCTGCTACCATTTGTAGCGATTCCCCTCATCTTCATAGAACGGACTTACTGAAATAAAAGAAATTCAAAATTAATTCAATTTGTTTTTAAATTAATTGAAAATTTTTAATACAATTTAATGAGTGTAATTTCTCTAAAAAATCAAAAAGTATTGTTGACTTACCCTTTAATCCGGATCCTTGTAGCACGATTGTCTTCTCCATTACCCCCATTGGCACTCACTAAATCACTCGAAATTTTAAAAATCGCGCACTACTAAATGTCTATTAGCACTCGAAAATACACAACACGCACTCACTGGTGACCGAGTTTCGCACACTTCACTTTGCAATAAACAAAAAAATAAAAAATTAAAGTGCACTGACCTTATATGGCATCATCTTCTGCTACCATTTGTAGCGATTCCCCTCATCTTCATAGAACGGACTTACTGAAATAAAAGAAATTCAAAATTAGTTCAATTTGTTTTTAAATTAATTGAAAATTTTTAATACAATTTAATAAGTGTAATTTCTCTAAAAAACCAAAAAGTATTGTTGACTTACCCTTTAATCCGGATCCTTGTAGCACGATTGTCTTCTTCATTACCCCCATTGGCTCTCACTAATCACTCGAAATTTTAAAATCGCGCACTACTAAATGTCTATTAAGCACTCGAAACAACACACACGCATCTCCCATTTCAACACGATTTCGCAACAGAACCACCAAATAATAAGTTATGATTTATTCGGACAAGTGATTCGTACGAGAGCTCAGCTAAGACTGACTCGTTATTGTAATATTTTTTTCGAAAACGTCACAAAAACTATTTCGTAACAGTTCCGGTGTAAAAGGCCTTTGTTCGTATACAGGGTGTTTCACATAATTTTACGAGGCCTACGCCTGTAAGATGCAATCAATAATACATATTCCGATACGACTAGATTACAAATTTTGGAAAATTGGATAAACTTCTCTAGTTTGTTCACCCTTTCAAAAATTACAACGTTTTTAGTTGTTAGTTTGGGTGCGTACATTAGGCGCAAGCCTCGTAAAGTTATGTGAAACACCCTGTATTACCAAATTCTACGTCATCATTTTTTCCGTCCTTTACACTTGTTTACACAACAAAGGGATTTTTAGTCGTACAAATACACATTTTTTCTAACGTGACGTCACGGAATTTAACCCAATCAAATCTTTCAAATTTCTTAAATTCAACCAATCAGATTCAAATTACGCTATAATGTCTGGGTAAGTCTACGTTATCTTGTGTATGACTTGCTATAATTCACCAACAATGTTAATACACACCAATTTTTTGTGAATTATTGTTTTTATAACTTTATAATCACTGTCAATTTGTGATGCTATTCTGTATGTATCTTTCCTGTTAAAATTTTAAATACCCCCTTTATTTTTCACCTTTAAATGCTTAATTTTTAAAGGGTACTTTGTGGGTAGCATTTATAGATTTTATTACGGGATACCACAAATCTATTTATGTACTTTGAATGATGCTTTTATTTGGTTTAAATAAATTTTGTTTTTAAGATTTAGTCAATTATGCAAACAGCACAACGAAATACTAGAATACCAGTGCACCTTAGGGTTTTAAGTGCATTGTACTTTTTTGGGCATAGTAGTTACCTTACTTGAATAGGACATAGTTACTCGATGTCACAGAGTTAGCCTAATTTAAGTAGGAATATTAATGAGGTGACCAATGCAATTATTCGAGGATTAATTAATATTTTAATAAAATTTCCTGCTAATGAAGTTGCGATTGTAATTATTGACTGTGCACATATTAAAATTATTTTTCCCCCAGAAGAATATCCTTTATATCCAGGTCAACCATATTATTGTATCAAAAAATATTACTGGCCAAAAATTCAAAACATTTTTCGTTTTCGATTTCTTGCTATGCCTACAAACTGAGGCTTAACAATTCTCTTTTTTTTGTCTTTTCTGAATTTTCTTATTTTGGATTCTTTAGAATGAGTTTGATCTAAAATGTGCACCCCTTTCTGCGCTTTCGACATTTGTGACAATCTTTCTTTAAACATTTTGAACGTTTTTTACGGAAAATGACAAATAAAACTGGCTTGACATTTTTTCATTTAAAACCAGCAAAAATAGTTCATTTATAACAAAATAATAACATTTCCTCTGTTTAATACGATAAAAGCCGAATATTTAAAAGGGTCCGTTTAAAAGATATATTTTTAAATGAGCACTTAATTTTATGCATATACAGGATGCGCCTGAACTCGCTCCCCAGAGAAAAATTTCAAGTAAGATAAGATACCACAAACATGAAAAAAATGTTTAAAAAATTCTATCTGTCAAAAAATTTTGACATTATTTATTTTTTGACATTTGACATTTTTTTATATCTATTTAATGATACTGATGATCTTGTATACGTTTTCTTACAATTATTTAGTAAAGGGACAAAAATTTTGCCAATAAAAGCAACAAATAACATTGAACAGAGTTACAATTTAGGATACAGCTCCTTTGTTTTTTCTTTTAATAGCCTATAACAAAAAAACTTGGAAAAATTTTTTTGGAACAGAAATAAATAGAGTCAAAGTGCAAATTTTAAACCCTCATAACTTCTAAATATTTATAGATAAAATTTTATTTTACAGAATAGGCCCTATTAGGGGTTTTTTGTTTTTTTGCCAAACCGAGCCATTTTTGCATCTTCAATGTTTTTGAACAACAAATTCAGGTTTTCTGCCGAGAAATCACCAAATTTAAAATTGTTTAAAATGCAGCGAAATTTTTAATTTGGAGAATTTTTGCGCATTTTTTTCATTTTCACCTGCAATTATTTAGAAAATTTGTAACCCGAAAGTTTAATTTTCGATTAGATTTGTAAATTTTTGATTTTTTCGACGAAAAAACGAAGCTTCAGTGACTTTTAACTACCATTTCCAAGCGCCAAGATCGTAATTTTTGAAAATTTTGACTCTTAGTTGGCGTCCTTTTTCCCAGATTTTCGATAATTGTCTTTAACCGTGAAGATTAGATTGTGGAAGTTGGACGGAAGAATTGAAAGAGAACGAAACGAACATTAAAAAGTGATGGAAAACGGGAAAAGTTGGCATTTGCAGTGTTGAAAAAGTACTTAGTTTTGCGTTGACTACTTGAACTGTACTTTATTACTTAAAAAAATATACACAAAAAATAAATCAAATAAAATAGTGATTTAATTGTGCAATATGTCGGTCTTCAAAACGGACTATTCACGATTCTCTTGGAGGAAGAAACGAGACAAAACCATCCAGGAGCAACACGCCGGACTGTTAAAAGGTTAATAACGGCCTGAATTGCGGGTTTTGCGTGATTTTTTCCATTATTTCACCTAAAAAAAAATAAAAATATTTTTTGGAGTAGGTACCATGCAGACACCTGGCTACTTGATGCACATAAACAAGGGACAGGATGACGAAATGGAAATATGTTGCTTCAAAACGAGCAAAATCAAAATCGTTTTCACGTACTTAGTTACGGTACTTACAGGTGGAATTTTGAGACTTATTTTCCATTGGATACCGCATTGGTATGTTTTTGCGACGTGCAATAAATGTGCAATCGGTGAAGCGGAAAAGATTCTAATCAAGGTTTAAATCACCAAAAAAAAAAACACAATTTTTATTAAAATAACTCAATTTCAGGAGATATTCGGTGGTAAACATAAAATATATCATGTCAAAAATCTGAAAGTTTTGACACCTGAAAGTGTACAAAAACTGAAAGACGACGATGAAAATCTACTTAATTCGCATCACGTGACCGTGAAGGAGAATAATCCCAACTTGTCGGTGCATTTCGAAAATGGGGAGTTCAGGGACTTGGACAAGTAAGTAAAAGTGGGCTACGACTCTGAAATTAAGTTGGCAACACTGAAATTTTGATATTTGTATTTCGAGCTGTTTCCTTTGTTTTATTTAATTTTTTAAAAAAATTTGGTTTATCTAAGATTTTTTTCAACTAAACTGGACAATATTTGAATTATTGTTGCAAATATTTTCAACAAGTTTCAGCAAGAATCTTGTTTATTTTGTAAAATTACTGCAAAATATTGTTAAATTGGTAGTAATTTTTTAGCCATAATTCTGTGATTTTACCCTAAAAAGTTTTTGTTAATTTTTTAATTTTAATTATATTCTAAGAAAACAAGAACATTTCACTAAAAATTGTGTTTGTTTCACTTTTTAGTGAATTTATATGAATTATTTGTCGAAAACTTTCAAATTCTAACAGATTTTTGTCTAATAGTACAAGAAATTGCAAAATTTGATTCCATTTGTGTTTTTTTTTCTGTTTTTTTGACTAGTTTTTGGACAATTTACACAAAATTTGTGATTTTTGATCAGGTCAGTCAATTAAGTTGGCAACACTTTTGACGTTCTGTCGACTATTCAGTGTTACCAACCTGATTTCAAAGTCGCGGCCGCTTTGATCAAAACTTTGAATTTGTTTAAGGCTTCTGATGTTCACTTGCAAAAAAGTGACATACATCTGGGATTCCCGCAAGCACGAATTCGTGAAACTCCACGGTTTGGATCAAGGCGTCTCCAGTGACGTTTTACACAAAAACAAAGGATTAACAAATGGCGAACAATTCACTCGTCGATTGGTTTACGGTCCTAATAAAATAACCGTAAAAGAACTCTCAATTGTCACACTTCTCTTTTTGGAAGTTCTCAATCCATTCTATATTTTCCAAATTGGTAGTTTTATTTTATGGTTTTTGGACGATTATTATTGGTACGCAGCCGCGATTATCACAATGTCGGTGTTTGGTATAAGCATGACAGTGAGACAGACGCGAAAAAATCAAAGAAAATTAAAATCGACAGTTCACAGTTCGGATATTTGTACTGTTTTAAGGAAAATACCGAAGAATTTTGATGGATCTGGTGATGTGTCCTATCAGACTGAATCGATTTCGACGGAACTTTTAGTACCAGGAGATGTTCTAGTGATACCTTCACATGGCTGTGTTATGCATTGTGATGCTATTTTACTCACGGGGAATTGTATTTTGAACGAGTCCATGTTGACGGGTAAGTAATTTAATCATAATTAAGATTGGTTTGTTTTTTTCAAGCATGTCATGGGTTTAATTGATGGAATTGTGCTCAATCAAATTTTTGACAACTTAATTGACCTGTTTTGTAACTTTTTAAGGCAATAGTTATTTATATATCAAGGGAATGAACAGATATTTTAATCCCGAGAATGTAAGTAATGCCAGAGGCGACTGAAGAGTGCCGAGGGCATTTAAAATTTTTCTCCCAACAGGCTAAATAAAGAAAATGTTTAATTTGTCAAATAATGTCAATTAATTTGTCAAAAAATCAGTCTTGTTTATGTCAAAAACACTCATAAGATTCATTCAGTTTCAGTTTATTTTAAGAGTCAAAACCGGTATTTCACTTATTTCATCCCCGAAGGAAGTAAATTAAATTTTTAAATACTATTTTTTTAAGTTAACACCCTATATTTTTTGTTATTGTATTTTACTAAAACATATACAAACTCTAGAACGTAAAAGTGTACATTTTAGTAACAATACCGTAATGTAAACGAAAATCGTAACTGAAAACGTAAATAAACGTTTAACTTTTACGTCCAAAAAACTTAGTAAGTAAAAGTAAAAGAAATTTGAGTTTATGAACGTAAAAAGTGAACTTGAGACGTCAAAACTTAAAAAGTAAAAATGTGAAGAAACATAAACATGAACATAAATGATGAAAGACAAAAACGTAAGAATTTAAAGATGTTATGAGTTACACGTAAGAACGTAACCATAAAAATGTAGAAATGTAAAAAACTTTAGTAATAGCGCAAGAATAAAGTAAAGCAAACTTAAGCCGCAAACATAATAACGTTAATTTGTAAAAACATCAATAAAGAATATCAACGTATGACGCAGACGTAATAACAAAATAAAAAATAGTGTCATATTTGAAAAAAAAAACGAACAATTTGATCACTTTTAGTCACTTTTGAATTGAAAATATATAAACGTAAGAAACATGTTTTTAAAGACTTTGAGTACATTTTTGAGCTAGAAATGCAATAATATCGCGAAATTTTATTAAAAATTAGTCACAAAACTTTAATAAATTAGGTCGAAAATGGTGTTATTTTTGCTTTTTTTTGAACATTTAAGCAAGAGTTTGTCAAGATTAGAACTAAAAATTACCAAATTCTTGCTTTTTTGCACATTTAAGCAAGAATTTGTCAACATTAAAACTAAAAATTACCAAATTATGTTTATTTTTGCCTTTTTTAAACGTATAAATTGTCTTGAAAAATTATTAAATTAGGTAGGAAATGACAATTTTTTGAACAATTGGAGATTTTTTCAAATAAAAAATACATAAAAGTATGAATGCAAACGTAGAAACATAAAAATAAGGACGTAAAAGTAAAAAGGTTAGAGTATAGAAAAAGAATGATACGAGATTGTGGACGAAAACGTAAACTTAGAGACGTAAAATTGTAAATAAGGAACATAATCATATGTATGAACATAAATGTAAACATAAGCGTAGGCACGTATACAAACTTCAAAAAAAACTTAAAAACGTAAGAATGCGAAAGTTGTAAGAGTATAAGAATATAACAAGGAAAAGAAGAAAAATAAAGATAAGAAAAGTTTACATAAAAAGAAACATAAGCATAGTAAAGAAAAATGACTTTTCCAAATTATTTCTTTTGTACATTTCATAATTTTTAACAAATTTAATTTTGTTTATTGAAGGTCTGAAATTTCATTATATTGTGAATCATAATAAACGACTCTTCAGTTTCATTGACAGTTTCAATAGGCAACTAATAAAACTTGCTGTATTACTGGTTGCCTGCAGACAATTTTTGCATTTATTTTTTATTAATTACCCTCAATTATCAAAATAATTAACTTTTATTTTGTTTTATAACTGCATAAATCTAAACCTACCTTGTCTGTCTTTCACATTAAAAAAAAAATATTTGTGTGAAATTTTTGCCATTACTTGGTTTACAATAGCCAATGTGATCAAATCCTGTCGGATTTGACTAAGAGTTTCATTTTTATTTAACAAAGTGTCTTTAAGATTGCGCCCCCTAATGGGACTTACGGGGGCTGCGCCACATTTGTAAAAACGTAATGGTAAAATATAAGCGTACGTAAGGTTTGATACGAGTATACTGTAGAATTGAAAATACGTAAACGTAAACGTAGAAACATAAACACATAAAATGTAAGAACGTTAGCGTAATTGTGTAAGAAACTAACGCATTGAGATCATTATAGAAATTTAAAGACGTAGAATATAAAAACTTAAAAACGTAAGATCGAAAATATAGAACTTTTGTAGGAACATAAACGTACCGTAACGTAAATAATAAACACAAACGTAAGAATGTAGGCATTGAAAAAGAATAACATAAGGATTTAAGGACGTAAGAGAAACGTAAGTATGTGAAAATTTTGCGATGTAAGATTGTAAACGTAAGAATTTATATTTGTAAAGGCTTTCAAATATGCTTCTGCTTTAATACTAAGGTTGAAAAACGCCAAATTATAAAATGTAAAAATATGAGAATGGTAACATAAAAACCTAAGCGTACTTACCTAAAAATATGTTGTGTTTTCTTAATATTCCAAGAATTGTAACCTCACAATCTACATCGAAAAATAACACTAGTCAAAAAAATAAAAATATAAAAGGGTAAAAATTACTAAAAAAATGACTCACACGTTTTTATTTGACCAATGAATGTAATTTGTCGACGTAGAATATGTGGTTGCAATTTTTCACAATATTAAAAAACACATTCATTAAAAAAAATTATGCCTGTTTGAAAATACTTTCCAAGCTTGTTTTTATTGTTTTTGCACCACCCTGTATCATACCTAATATACAGGGTGCACTATTAAAACTAACAAATTAATTCCAGGTGAGTCGGTCCCCGTCACCAAAACCGCTCTACCCAACCTCCCCGACCTCACCTACGACCCCAAAGAGCACGCCCGACACACCCTCTTCTGTGGCACTCAAGTCATCCAAACTCGATATTTCGGTAACGAAAAAGTCCTTGCAGTCGTCGTACGAACCGGTTTTTCAACCGCTAAAGGTAACAAACCAATCAGAATAAAACTAGCAAGTCACGTGATACTTATAGGAAGTCTTGTAAGGAGTATACTATATCCACCACCGGTTGATTTCCGCTTCGAAAAGGATTCCTATCGATTTGTTGTTTTATTGGCTGGAGTGGCATTGATCGGTTTTATATACACAGTGGTCACTAAAGTAAGTTTTTTATTTGAAAAAATGAAACACAGTGTGTTGGAAATGTATTGTAGGTGATGCGAGGCGTATCGTCACGTGATCTAGTAATCGAAGCTTTTGATTTGATAACAATTGTGGTACCGCCTGCACTTCCGGCCGCCATGACAGTTGGCCGGTTCTACGCCCAGATTCGGTTGAAAAAAATGAGAATTTTCTGTATTTCCCCGAGGACTATTAACGTTTCCGGGTCTATAGATTGTGTGTGTTTTGACAAGGTTTGTTTTATTTAATTTTTTGATTATTAATTGTTTTAATTTTTTTGTCAGACTGGTACTTTAACCGAAGACGGCTTAGATCTCCTCTGTGTGGTGCCAATCAAAGATAAGAATTTCCACATGCCGGTGAAAAAAGTCAATTCTTTGCCTTACGACACTTTTGTTTGTGGTCTCGTCTCTTGTCACTCATTGACTATTATTGATAAACAAATAGTTGGCGATCCCTTAGATTTGAAAATGTTTGAGAGCACAAAGTGGGTCATGGAAGAGCACGACGTTGCTGATAACAACAAGTTCAATATGATTTTTCCGACTGTTTTAAAACCGCCCAAAAATCGTGAAAATCAAACAGACGATCTTCAAATCGGGATTATTCGGGAGTTTCCGTTTTCGAGTAGTTCGCAACGTATGGGTGTGATAATTCGCAAATTGGGGGCCCAACATTTCGAATATTATGCGAAAGGGTCCCCGGAGATGATTTTAAATTTTGTGCGAAGTGACAGTGTCCCTGGGGATTTTCACGATGTCCTTGAAAGCTACACCCAGGAGGGTTATCGTGTTATAGCCCTAGCCCACAAAGAACTAAAATTGTCATATGCGAAAGTCAATAAAGTCCAACGGGACGCAATTGAGAAAGACATGACTTTATTGGGGTTAATAGTGCTCGAAAATCGGTTAAAACCGGAAACAACCCCTTGTATCCAAGCATTGAACGACGCCAGTGTTCGAGTCATCATGGTCACCGGTGACAATATTTTGACAGCTTTAAGTGTGGCCAAAGATTGTGATATTGTGACACAAGGTCAGAGTGTCATAACTGTCAATTCTGACAATAGTACGCCACCGCAATTGTACTACACGTTGACCAACACGAAAAATAAAACATCGAATGAGATTAGTGTTTTGTCAAATTCGGCAAGTATTGTCAGTTTGGATACGATTGAGAGTCAAATTCAAAGCATTACTACCAACACAACGGTGAAAAAATTGGAGAAGCCTCATTTGTTTAACAATTATCGGTTTGCCATGACTGGGAAGGTTTGGGGTGTGGTTAAAGAGTTTTATCCCGAGTTGTTGCCACGTTTGGTCACTAGAGGGACGGTGTTTGCGAGGATGTCGCCCGAGCAGAAGCAACAACTCGTCCAGGAGTTGCAAAATCTGGGGTATTGTGTTGGTGAGTTGCAGATAAAGTTGGTAGCTCCGGTTTTGTATAATTGAATTTTAAGAAATTTTTGTAAAAGTGGGGTTATTTTGCGAAGTTTCGTTATAAATAAGCCGAAATTTTAAGAAATTGTGTTATTTTTGTCTTTTTCCAACGTTTAAGCACGTTTTTAAGAGAAAAAATTTTTTTTTGCAACATTTTGCTTACCAAAGCCGAAAATTTTTTAAACTTAGGTCGTAAATTTTTAATTTTTATGTTTTTTTGTTTGATAACGTTTCAAAAATTTGTTTTTACTAATTTTTACTAAGCTGTACTAAAAATGACATTTTTACGAAGTTGCGACGAAAGTAGTGTTTTATTTCATTTTTAGTGTTTAATGCGTTATTTCATTAAACTTTTTTTTATTTATTTGTTATAAAAATCGAAGATATTTAGAATAAAAAATTGATGGTTTTGTCAAAATTTAATAAACTATGTCAAAAATGGTGTTTTTTGCCATTTTTCAACGTTTAATAACGTTTTTAAGAAAAAAATCAGTTTTTGGGCAACATTTTGTTGCTTACTCTGGTTGAATTTTTTTTTCAATTTTTGAGTGCATTTTTCTCCTAAAAATTTATTTTTTATACGAAATATTGTTATTGGGACGGAAAATCACTATTTTGTGCCAAAAATTACATTATTTTCACCAAATTAAGTCGTATGTAGGGAATTTTTTTTTTTATGTAATTTAAAACTGATTGTTCTCTTATGAAATTCCCAAATATCGAATCAAAAATAAGCTGAAAATTTACAAAAATGGTGTTATTTTTGAATTTTTTGAACGTTTAAGCACATTTTTTTGTACATTTTATAGCTAAAAACTTATTTTTTTATCAAATTAAGTCGAAAGCAGTGGATTTTTTCCTTTTTCGAGTGTTTCGATTCTTTTTTTGCATCACTTTTTTTTCATTCAAACCACTATTTTGACATTTATGTGTTAATTTATCGTTTAATTTAAATTTAATAAATTATCTCAAAATTGGTGTTACTTTTGCCTTTTTCGAATATTTAATAACGTTTTTAAGAAAAAACAGCTTTTTGTAACATTTGTTTACCCGGGCCGAAAAATTACCTAATTAATTGCGTTTTATTTGGATTTTGAATACGTCGAGCCGAAAAAATCTCAAATTAGGATGAAAATTTTTAATATTTCGCGTTTTTACTCAGTCTTTGAGTGTATTTTTTAGTTAAATATTTATTTCTTATACGTAATTTTGTTAAACTAGGCCAACAAATCTCTATATTATGCCAAAAGTGACATTATTTCAACCAAATTAAGTCGAAAATATTGGATTTTTTTCTTTTTTTGAATGTTTAGATACGTTTTTTTATTATTTATTATTTTTTCATTCATACCACTATTTTGACATTCATTTGGTAATGAAATCGAGACATCTAAATTTAAAAATGATTGTTTTGTCATTAATTTCACCAAATTAAGACGAAAGTAGTGGGTTTTTCCTTTTTTCGAGTGTTGAATGCGTTTTTTCGTTATGGAAGATTACGTATGCGGACTTAATTTCATTTTTTTTTATTTATTTGTTAATAAAATCGGAAATATCTAGATTTAAAAATTGATAGTTTTGTCAAAATATAATAAATTATGTCAAAACGGTGTTATTTTTGTTTTTTTCAACTTTTAATAATGTTTTTAAAATAAAAATCAGTTTTTGGGCAAAATTTTGCTTACTGGCTGAAAATTACCAATTTACGACGAAAATTATTTTTTATTATTTTTTTTTTTCATGTTTTGAGAGCATTTTGCAGCCTAAAATTTATTTTTATACGAATTTTGTTAAATTGAGACCATAAATCACTATTTTATGCTAAAAATTACATTATTTTCACCAAATTAAGTTGTAAGTAGTGATTTTTTTTATTTTTCGAGAGTTGAAATACGTTTTTTTATTAATTCTCTTTTTCATTCAAACATTTGACTTTTATTTGTTAATAACATAGGAGATATCTCGATTTAAAAGTGATTGTTTTCTTATGAAATTCTCAAATATTGAATTAAAAATAAGCTGAAAATGAAAAACATTTTTTAGTACATTTTATAGCTAAAAACTTATTTTTTATCAAATTAAGTCGAAAGCAGTGGATTTTTTCTTTTTTCGAGTGTTTCCATTGTTTTTTTGCATTACTTTTTAATTTTATTCATTCAAACCACTATTTTGACATTCATTTGTTTATGAAATCGAGATATCTAGATTTAAAAATAGTCGTACTCGTAAAAAATATTCGTAAAATTTCTAAATTTTGAATCAAAAATAAGACGAAAATTTAATAAATTATCTCAAAAATGGTGTTATTTTTGCCTTTTTCGAATATTTAAGCACGTTTTTAACAAAAAAACTCAGCTTTTACAACAGCACGAGCTGAAAAAAACAAAAACAAATTAGGACGAAAAATGTTTGATTTTTTGCGCTTGTTGTCACCGTTTTAGTGCATTTTTTATCTAAAAATTTATTTTTTATATGAAATTTTTTTTTAATAAAATCGGAGATAATTATATTTAGAAGTGATAGTTTTGTTTCAAAATTCCTAAATTTTTGACATTATTTGAACCAAAGTAAGTGGAAAGTATTGAATTTTTTTCTTTTTTCGAATGTTTAGGTACGTTTTTTTATTAGTTTTTAATTTTTTTCATTCAAACAACCAATTTGACCTTAATATCGTTTTGTCATGAAATTCCCATATATTGAAGCAAAAATAATAATAAATTATCCCAAAAATGACATTATTTTCCCCAAATTAACTCAAAAATAGTGGATTTTTTTATTCAAAAACTAAAAAATTCCCACAATAGTGAATATACTTTTTTTTTCAGCAATGTGTGGCGACGGCGCGAACGACTGTGGCGCCCTCAAAGCGGCCCACACTGGAATCTCCCTTTCCGAGGCGGAATCATCCGTTGCAAGTCCTTTCACGAGCCGAAATCCAAACATTTCGTGCGTTTTGAACGTGATCAAAGAAGGCCGAGCAGCACTGGTAACCAGTTTCGGTATTTTTAAATACATGGCAGCGTATAGTTTATGTCAATTCGTCTCAGTTTTAATATTGTATAGTATTGATTCGAATTTGACCGATTTAGAATTCCTCTACATCGATTTATTCATCATTTCAATTTTCGCATTTTTCTTCGGAAAAACCGAAGCGTACAGTGGAAAATTAGTGAAAGAAACACCATTGAGTAGTTTAATGAGTGTCAGTCCGATTTTGTCACTACTATTACAAATGTTGGTAGTGATTGGGATTCAAGTTGGGGCTTTTGAACATTTAAAATTACAAGGTTGGTACAAACAGTTTCAACATAATGACGCACATAAGGATGAAGTTGGCTGTGTTGAAAATTTTGTCATTTTCACCGTGTCAAGTTTTCAGTATATTATCCTAGCGGTGGTTTTTTCCAAAGGTAAGCCATACAGAAAAAGTATTTTTTCGAATTACGGTTTTTTGATTACTGCTATTTTAATGGTGGCATTTTCGGTGTATTTGGCCTTATGGCCGGCGCAATTTTTCATCGATCAATTTGAGTTGGTATTACCGGAGTTCAATTTTCGCATTTATTTACTCGGCTACGCCTCGATTAACTTCCTTTTGAGCATTTTCATCGAACAAGTGATAATCGATTATGTCGTTTTCAAGAAGTTGAGGTTCAAATTTCACAATATTGATAAGTCAAAGCGAAAGTTTTTGGCCATTGAACGCGATATTGATTTGGATACAAAATGGCCGATTTTGACATCTGATTTTAAATCGGCCGCGAGTCCGTTGAATCCGTTGCCAACTTGCACGGCCGAAATTGTTATTGAAAAGGAAAAGTTTGATAAAAATCACGTTTTGAATACGTTGTATGAGGAGAATGTGGAGTTTGGGGTACCGAATGGTCAGTTGTGTGATGCGAGTTTGCCTTCCGAGTCTAGTCCTAGTTTAAGTGACACTTATAAGAGTTTTCCGAGTGGGAATACCAGTTATGATTTGGCAAATTCGCAGTGTAATATTGCGGAGCTTCCATATGATGATTCGGGGCAAAATTTGTCGAGTTTTAACTCGTTTGGGGCGAGTCCCAAGAGTAATAAGGATTGTGTTAAAGCATTAGAAATGAATTTTTTGGAAAATAGGTGAGGTATAGTTTTAGATTTAGTAAGTGAAAGGCCCTTTTGGCTTAAAAGTATTAAATGTAACAATGTGTATCTCTTAGTGTTCTTTAGAAGGATTTATTTATCTTTACTTATTGAGGGTATTTACGGCTTCACTAAACCTAAGTTCCTTTATTTTTACAGTTTTTATAAAGTGTTATTTTTAGACTTAATAGGTGTGTACTTAGAGGAATAAATAAAGTTGTTTGTTTGCTCAATTACTCAGTTTCGTGAACCATAAAATGCCTCAACCAATCCACTCATTCCTTTTTTATTCCCTCGCAATCACAAATATTGAGCAAAATGACTCAGTCTCAAAAATATGAGAAAAAAATCGCATGTGGTTACAAAAGTATCAGGACTTTGGGTTGTATTTTTGTAAATATTTTAAAATTTTTTGTAGTAAAAATCGCTGGTGGTCACAAAAAATGGAGCAAAAAAATTGCTCGTGCCCACGAAAAATTATATAAAAAAATCGACCAGGGGCACGAAAAATTGAACAAAAAACCGCTTGTGGCCTTTCTTAAAAATTTGTTAAAAATCAGGAATTTAGGTAAGATTTAAAAAAAATTGTAGCTACAAAAAATACAATAAAAAAATCGTTGGTGGTAACAAAAAATTGCTCATGATCACAAAAAAATAAATAAAAAATCAATCAGGGGCACAAAAAATTGAACAAAAAACCGGTTCAAAAATTTGTTAAAACATCAGGAATTACAGTTTTTTAAAACATCAGGAGTTTAGGTTAGATTTTAAAAATTTTGAAATAAGAAAAAATTAAATAAAAAAATCGCTGGTGGTCTCAAAAAATTGAGTAAAAAATCAATCAAGACAAAAAAATAAACAAAAAACGGCTTGCGGTGTTTCTAAAAAAATTGTTTAAAATCGGGAATTTAGGTAGGATTTTAAAAAAAATTGTAGCAACAAAAAATACAATAAAAAATCGTTGGTGTAACAAAAAATGGAACAAAAAATTGCTCATGATCACAAAAAATAAAAAATCAACCAGGGGCACAAAAAACTGAACAAAAAACCGCTTGTGATCTTTTTCAAAAGTTTGTTAAAACATCAGGAGTTAAGGTGAGATTTTAAAAATTTTGTAGTAATACAAAATGAAACAAAAATCTCTAGTGGTCGCAAAAAATTAGTAAAAAAAAACAGCCAGAGACAAAAAATTGAACAAAAAACCGCTTGTGGTCTCTCTCAAAAATTTGTTAAAAGATTAGCGAGTTTAGGTTAGATTTTAAAAATTTTGTAATAACAAAAAATGAAAAAAAAAAGCCGCTTGTGGTCTTTTTTAAAATTTGTTAAAAATCATGAATTTAAAATTTAGAAATTTAAAAAATTTTCGTGGTAACTCTCATGATCACAAAAATTAAATAAAAAATCAGCGAGAAGCACAAAAATTGAATAAGAAACCGCTCAAAAATTTGTTAAAAGATTAGGAGTTTAGGTACGATTTTAAATATTTAGTAGTAACAAAAAATGAAAGAAAAAATCGCTGGTGGTCATAAAAAATTGAGTAAAAAATGGGCCAAAGAAAAAAAAAATGTCCAAAAAATTGCTCATGGTCACAAAAAATTGAGCAAAAAGTCGGCCCCGAGGGAAAAAAATTCAGGAATCAGGATTTTGGGTTACATTTTTTTAATATTTTAAAAATTACTTTTAATTACAGTTGGAGACAAAATACTTTGGTCGTCACTTTTCTGACACTTTAATGTAATTCAAGCTTTAACGTTAAAATTAATGACAATTTCAAATTAATGACAGCTATTATATTTTCCTATCAAAAATATGTACAACTTGTCAACTATGATTGACAGCTAAAAATAAGGTTAACAGTCCTAAAGCATGCTTCACTCAAGTGACATTGACGACAAAAGTATTTTGTCTCCAACTGTACAAAAAATGGAATACAAAATCGTTTGTGGTCGCAAAAATTTCATAAATTTGGAGAATTTATTCTCAATGTTGGCAATTTGTATACTTGTGGGCCTGTGTGTATATTTGGTTGCATAATAACTCTCGCCTAGGCTTGATTTTTGAATTGTAAGTTTTTTTTTATCAAAACAAACTATTTTCAGTTTTAATAAATAAGATTATTCCATTATTTTGAGTGTATTAGAATTAAAAAGAAATAGCCAGCAGTAGTTTTAAAAATATCTCTTTATTGACAATTATAAAGTTATAATAAAATATGTGTTAAAACAGTCCACATAACATAGAACAATAATTTAATGACCCCTTGAATTACACAAAACTTGTCAGATTGAAGTGAGATCAAAACAACAAAATTTTGAATCCGTTTCTGATAATCTTTGGTGAAAAAATTATGAATCAAGCCCTCGAGACTTCCGTTTAATTCTCGCATAAGGCCCCACATCTGGATCCATAACAAAATCGTACAAAACAGCAGTCCACGAATTATGCTGCGGGAGCGTATCATAAAACTCCGGTGCGATTTTCTTCACCTAAAAAAATTGTTACTCACGACTGACATAAAATTTTTTTTCTACTATACCTCCGGTAGACGCGAGCCTGGCACATAGGGAAAATCATGATGCTCATTATGGTACCCCACATTGAACGTAATCCAATTCAAAGGCCCGTAATAACTGTACGTTTCGTACCCCTTTTTGAACATGTAATGCTCGGAAATGAAATGCCCAGCCACTGGGTGCAACCCCATCGCCATCACAGACCCAAAAATTAAATAACCTAGAACTCGACCCCCTGAAACACAAATCATAACTTTGGTTTTTCCTCGTGGGGGAAGTACCGAAATAGTAGACAACGAAAGCGTCGAAAATTAATTGTATCACAGTGTTGACTATTTCGAGCATTGTGGGGGGCTTCGGGTACGTCACGAGAGGCCTAAATGCGTAAAAAAAGGGCTGCAGGAGCACCCAGACAAACTTCCCGAAAGTGGTACAAAAAAGCTTAGCCTCCAGGTAYGTGGGGATGTCGGTGTCTTTGATCTCGTCACCTTGGTACTACAATCAACGATTATTTAGGTACARTAGGAATGAACCCCTCACCTTGTGGTGTTCCAGGTGGTACTTCCTGAAGCTGATCGAAATGGGTATCCCGATGGGCAAATTGGCGAAAAACCCAAACACCTTGTTCCACATGGGTCTGCCGTGCCCGAAGGCCAGATTATGCGAGATTTCGTGCACGGCCAACATCAAGGAGTGGTTGATAACCCCCCCGAAGCAATAGGCTACTAGAAAAATAACCGGCCACGACCTGTCTTTCATCACAAATAGCATCACAAACTGGATTAGGACCATCAAGGTAACCACCCATTTGAAATTGGGGTCGTACCCGAACAGTTTCTTGATCTGGGGGTACTTTTCTGTAAAAAAATCAATTCAAATCAAGTAGGTGTGATCGCGAACCTAACCTAGAATTATTTTTCGCCGGCTCGCGTGGGGCTCCTCCGTGTAGACCCACTCGAAGTCGGTCCGAGACACGTGCTGGCCCATCCTCACCTACACAAAACCACACTTTAATTAGTATATCACATAATTTTCACAAATCGCCGCTAATAATTGTTACGTCACTGTCAAATTTGACAGTTGGGTGCGACGTTGCCAAATTAATTTAATTTAATGAGTCAGAAAATTTGGTTAAAAGTGGTTTCAATCACGTGATTGTTAACAAAATCGGGTTTTGGGTGCGTTATCTTTATAAAAAAAAAGTGTTTGCAACGAGGCCCCGGTGGGATTCGAACCCACGATCTCCTGTTTACTAGACAGGCGCTTTAACCAACTAAGCCACGGCGCCGTTATACCGAATTTTACCGAAATGGCATTTCAACTGCTTTGTTTACACTTGAGCCGTTTGTGTTTTTACTTGAAAAATTGCTTAAATCACTTAAATCCAAACCGACTCACCTAATTTTTTGTTTCAATAATTGTCAAGTAATAATTACACTACAATTTTTTGTATTCTTATTTTTCGAGATATCAAGATTAAGATTTGTACACACAAGGGGATTAAATTATAACACAGCACCTGCAAACGTTACATTACGTACCCAAGTGTGTGGAATTATATTTTCACTATCTACAAACATGTGTTGGATTTATTGTAATAGTGACGAGCGAAGTAAAGTGCAAAAATAGTTAAATTTAATTGGTCGTTGTGGTTTTATAGATAGTTTGCATTTTAAATAGAATTTTGGCCTAAAAAATACGAGATATCGATAAATGGTCGGTCTTGGTATTAATTGCTTTTTAATGCATTTTTAATCGTCTCTTGATTCAATTTTGTGTTTCTCTATTTGTGGGTCAATATTGAAACTTTTCTCATTTTGAACCTAAATCAAAACGGAGACAGGAAATTGGAACTCCAATTTTATCAAATAACATGCACTAAATTCTTCAATTACCAATTGTGATAAAACTGATTAAAGTAATCATTGATAGGAAAAATTCTAAGAGATTAGATAAACAGTGGTTTACTGTGTTGACTCATTTCGTGAAATAAATATTTTGCCTTGTACAGATTTTTTAAGAACACTAATCGCATTGTAAACAATTTACAAAAATATTGATTTTCATTAATGTATTGTTGGTTGCCTAGTTTTTGCATTTTCATTTGGAAAGAAAAACTATTTCAGTAGAGATAAAAACACAAGATAAATAATTCTGTTTTTCAACGCACACAAACAAGAAGAAGAAATTGTTTAAAGTTTAAAACTTTACGTCAAGAAAACTTTAAGCTATCAACCGAGAAGCTTTCAAGTCGATTAGGAAAATATCGACAACTGTGCAAAATTACTATATGCAACTTTTAATGAGTAGTTGTCTTGCAAGTTGCATAAATAAACCTATTTATAAATTGTTGGATACATTTTTAAATTAACAAAATGTTATTTGCAACAATAATAAATATACAAAATTATACAGTGTTTTTGAAAACCCGGCGCATCCACCATTTTTCCACGATCATAATTTTAATCAATTAACCTCTCAAAAAAAGAAAAATAATTTGTGACTCTTAATAAAGAGCAAAAGCACAAAGTTGGCGTTAAATTGAGTCGTTTCAGACCCAAACTAACAAACGTTATTAGTGTTTCTTTCATAAATTCATTACGGGTGAAGTTCTACAGGCTTGGAACCCTTTTATTACATACTATCCCAGGGAGTTTTATCCCATTGTGGTGGCCACCCTGATGAATTATTGCACAAGGCCTGATGTAATCTTTCTATGTCGGGGTTATGCGCATAATGGATTTTTTTTATTTGATTTTTAATTTTTGTTATGAGATATACAGGGTGTGCCAGTTTGTATCCCTACTCCAACACCTGTTTCTAGGCAATGCGATTTTTTGGAGTAATCGTTCTTTGAGGTTAAAAATAAATGTACACTGTAATAATGATGATTAATGTTTGTGACAAAAAAATCTATAGGTACCACTGAATTATTGGAAATATAAAAGTTTGACGTTTGAATGTCAACGTTGCCAAGTAAAATTTTAAATTTCACACTAACTTGAGGTAAAAAATCGCAATCATTTGGAGTCATAGGGGTAAAAAAACACGTTTTTGCGAAAATTTTTATTAGCTTAAAAATACGGTTGTACTCATTTGTCAAATAAATTATCACGTGGTCTCTGGGGCGTCGTCATGTGGGCTCATTCTCTGGCGTTTTCTTGTTCGTTATGCTCTGGACGATCAGATTAAGGCAATCCAAGCTGGAGGCAGTTGTGCCACTTTCAAAGCCTGGAAAAAGAAAATCACTCACTTGAAAAACAAATCTTTTACTTTGTCCGACTTCAAATAGCACCTGATATTTATTTTTGAGCTCATTATTTTAATAGTTCGCATAAATCAGTCTAGTCCGGTTTGTGCGGCAAATACAAGTTGATGGTTTGCTTGAAATTGGGTGAAATTGCGCCCAACGCTTGATTATACTAGTGGTGCGGACTAGGGCTAAATGCGTCCGGCGGCTTTGACAGGACAGATCTTGTAATGATACAATTTACAAAGTTGGGGTTATTTATATCTATAAAATATCGTTTTACGGGTTGATATGTATTTTTGGACGCCACTGACTTTAACAACTATTTGAATAACAGACGAAAGACGAGCGTTTTTATTTTTTACGCCTGACAGATACGGACCATAATTCCTCTCAGTTTATGACTAGCGACATTTTTTCAAAATGGAGAATACAAATAAATTTTCCGATTCGAAAATTCAGTTGGCAGCATTGAATAATGTCAAAATTGACAAGTCTCGTGTTTTCAGCATTATTCCCCCCGAAATGAATGACAATTGAGTATAAAAATGTGACATTTGAATGTGATAGTTAATGCTGCCAACTTAATTTCCAAGCCATAGGCTTAATTGAAAACATGGTATTTTCGTATTACCGGGTGACTGTAAATGATTGTGATTTTTTTCCTCAAGTTGGTGACAAAAAAAATTTAGTTTGGCAACCTTGACTTTCAAATTCAAACGTCAAACTTTTAACGTCACCTGAAACGTTCTGACATCACAAATTAAAAGGATTAACAATAATTCAGTGTTGCCAATAGATTTTTATGTCACAAACATTAATGACCCGGTACTTTAAATATTAAAGTGACAGATGTTCAGAAAATATGATTTTTATTTATTTAATTTATACAAGGTAGTATTTAAAAACCAAATTTTTAATTTTTCAATTTTGATATTTCCTACTTCTACATTATTCATTGTAACCAAACCAACTGAATTTTCGAATCACAAGAGATATTTTATTTGAAATCCACTTTTATTTTCCATTTTGTAAAATTTAAATCCAAACTGGTGAATTTGATATTAAGTTGGCAATACTGAATTATTGGAGATATTAAATTATGTAAAGTGACGGCCTTGCCAGCGACCGCCCCTCGAAAATGAATGACAACTGAGTATAAAAATGTGTCAATGTTGCCAACTTAATTTCTGTCATAGGCTATTTGATCAGAACTTTAATTGAGTACCAATAATGCAGTATTGCCAACTTGAAATTAAAGTCGCGGGTCACTTCGATCCGAAATTTACGTAATAATTTTTCAATCACTTAGAGATAAAAGCTTCTGAGTGCCACAAACAAGATTTTTTTAGTATTTTTCTGAAACAAATACACTAGAGTGTTAGTGTTACAAAAGAGCTGTAGGAAATAAATAAAAATGTGAATTAATTTGAAAAAAATCATTAGTAGTTTTCTTTCTCACTCGACAGATGTTCATTTGTAATATAAAGAGACAATTTGTTGGGATTTATGTCGATTTGGGGCCAAAAACTAATCAGTATGAAATATTGATACCCAGTGGTTAAAAAAAATCGATTTTCTGTATATACGAAAATAGCTGTTGACAGGCACTTTGTAAGTGGCGACATTGCCATCACCCTCTTGTGTCTCTCGAGACCAATCCGATTTTTACAACATCCGCTACCTTAAGTATATTTAGGCGTTAAATATTCGAGGTTTGAGATTTATGTGTTTATAAAGTGTGGGAGTGAGTCTAATGACAGGACACGTATTTTAACTTTTAATGGATCGCTCCCGGGATTAATCCCGGCGTTTCTCGGATAAAATCACTCTTATTATTATTATTTATCAGTTGCATTTGCAGAGGGAAATTCGATAAATCCCAGGAATTCGAGCGAAATCACGAACGATTCAAATTACAGTGAATTGAATAAATGTAGAGGAAAAAAAACATGAACGATTTCAAGAGGCAAAAGACGCGAATCGATTGAATCGCGACGGGGAGTGTGATCAAAAATTAATAACGCAAGAACAGGCAAAATGTCTTTATTTTTGTGTGTTTATTTTTCACACTGAAAATGAAAATTGTGATTTTTTCATTTTTAATTATCGGTTAAAATAAAAAATTAACTCAAGACATTTGCATTTTTTCTTGTTCCAACAACGTTTTATGCATTTTTTTAATCTCTTGTACTATTAAAAGTACAAAAAAACATTTTTTTTTAATTTCTGAATTGTTTTAATGCTTTCTTATATTATTCTTAATAAATTACTATAAAATTAATTTTCGCATTTTTTAGTTTATTTTTCACAAAATTTTGGGAAATGATTGCGTTTGTAGCTAAAAAAATGTGCTAAAAGGCTTGAAAAAGACACAAATTATGTAATTTTCTATCTATTGTGATGAGTTTTTACCCCGCGAGATAGCAAAACTTTGCCCAAAAACTGAGTTTTTAGCTCAAAACAAATTAAAACTTTAGATAAATGATAACATAATGTTATTTTTGCTTATTTTGGCGATTTTTGGTCCGGTTTAAATGTTTTTTATTACGTTGTCTTTCATTTTTTATATTTTATTTCTTTTATAGATGCAACTTTCTAAAGAACAGTAATATTCAAGTACTTTCTTAGTTTTAATTTTTTTATTGTACTTATACTTTAGTATTTTTTTTTCTTTTCCTACAATTATTATTTATAACTTTATTAGTCTTTATGTAAGTTTTTATTTTGTCACATATTTATTTATTTATTTATTTTTGTTTGTGTTCTGTTATTGGAATACAACTTGTATTGTATTCTGTTGAACAATAAATATATTATTATTATTATTTTCAAATTTTTGTCATTTTCTACAAAATAGGAAAATTTTCCGACCAATATAGCAAAAGCACGCAAAAATTTAAATTTTTAGCTCAAAAACCCTTGAAAAATAAATAAAACGATTTTTGACATACTTTGATGTTTTATGGTCATCTTTTTGTCATAATTTTACGAAATAAGTGCGTTTTTGGATGAAAACGTACTAAAATGCTCAAAAAAGGCAAAAAGAATGCCATTTTAAACCTAATTTGGTAATTTTTGAAAGAAATCTCTTAGAAGATTTATTTTTTTTAGCTCAAAAACGTAATTAAACGCTTAAAAAAGCAAAAAACAATGTCACTTTCCATTTAATATAGAGACTTTGTGGTCTAGTTGAACAAAATTTCGAGTTTTTAGCTCAGACACGTAGCTAAACCTTCAGAAAAAGGTTTATTTAATTTTGTGATTTTTAGACTACATAATTTTTGACAAAATTTCCTGTCTAAAACCTGTAAAAAGAACAGTATCTTTGACTGAATTTAGTAATTTTTTGCCTTGTTTGTTTACAAAATTTTAAGAATTAATTTTACAAAATAAATGTGTTTGTGACTAAAAAAAATCATGCTAAAACGCCTGAAGGAAACACAAGTTATTAATTTTCGATCTAATACCAGGGTGTTTTATCCCAGGATAGCAAATTTTTTAGAAAAACTGTGTTTTTAGCCCAAAAACAAACTTAAACTTAAAAAATGCAAAGATAATGTCATTTTCGATTTAATATAGTGATTTTATCGCCAAGTTTTGCAAAATTTTGAGGTTTTATTTTAAAAACGTGCTTAGATGTTTGTAAAAAAATTTGCAAACTTTTCGGCTAATTTCTACTGAAATTTCGTGTGTTAGAGATGAGAAACAGGCTAAAACGCCCGAAAAAAACAAAAATTACGTCATTTTAAACTTAATTTGATAACTTTTTAGTTAAAAAACGCTCAAAAAGGCGATAATGTGGTTCAATTCTGAACGTAATTTCGCGAAATCATTACGTTTGTGGCTGAAAAACCTGTTAAAACGTTCTGCGACAAACAGTTATTGTCTAAAAAACACATTTTTTTGCGATATAATCTTGACCGAGTGAAGTTAAAAAAAAATACAAAACGAATTTATTGAACACAAACTTCGGATTTTTCATTTTTTATCATGTAGATTAAAATGTGAGACAGCCGTGATGAGTTTTGTCAGCAAAAACCCCTAAAAATTTAAATTTCCAAGTCGGTATTGAACCGACTGGCGAAAAACAAAAGAGAGGCCTTTACGGAAATAAATCACTGTCAGGGTTTTTGTTTCAAACGCAAAACTTTAAATCAGAGTAGGCAGAAAACGTCATTTATTCCCATTTAATGATTTAAATATTAATTCGAAAGGCAGTTGGGCCACGTGATCGATCCGAAAATAATTTTTACTGCGCCATTTTCCCCACTTAATTCGGGTATTTAACAAGAGTCGTAAACTCGTAATGGACGTCATTTACTTACTCTTTGACATCTTTATCGCAAAGTCTTAGAATTTTCGCATCGAGTCTCTGGATTTTTTATTAATCATTCCAGGACCGTAATAATGTAATCGTGGCCCGATTTCGAATGCAACACTAACAATAATAGCGAGTTCCATTTCCGCAATTGTGCGATGCAGAGCACGCTTTCGTCTTGAAATTGGGTTACAGTGGCCTATTTTCGCATTCTTGTCTTCCAAGTTTGCCAATGATAATTTAAAAATTAAAAAAAAACAATTACACAGGGCGACAAAAAAAGTCATGTCGTGACAACTTGACACATTTTATATTATTTTGTTCGTCTCAGTGAGGCAAATCAAATGCACTAAAAAAAATAAAAAAGTCCACATACTTTGAAGTAATTAATTTTTTTCTAATTTAAATGAATTTAAAATACTTTAACTTTAAAAAATCATTACTCAATAACTATTAGGCCGATTTCCTTCAAATAAGGACCTTTCTAAAGGGGTGGCCTTGCCCTTTAGGATGATATAAAATTTGACATTGAATATTGCCAAACTAAAGTAAATCGAAATAATCTAAGAAAAACCCTACGAGTAATTTTTTTTTCTTTATCGCCATCGTGTAGAGCATCTTTTTATTAGTAAGAATCTAAATTTTCAAAAAAATATACCGAGTAGTTTTCAAGTTATGATTTTTTGAAGTTAAGGTTTGTTATTCAGGTATTGCGCCATATAGGAGAAATGCATGTTAATCTTACTTAAAATTGCATTTTTATAAAAGTATTTGTTTTAAGACCCTTTTTTTTTGCTTAAAAATTGTCAATTGCACCTTCTTTGTTCTAATTAGAATAAACAAAAACTGTTTGTTTACTTAAAACAAATAAATAGTACCTGCGTCCTAATTAAAGCAAATAAAGAGTTTTTTTGTTGTAAAAATGACCACTGATCATTGAGCAAAGAGGATCTAGAAATTTAAGGCAGGAGCCTTAAATATAAGGGCAAATCTTTTTCATCAGAGAAAGTGATGAGAACGCATTTGCTTAGAACATTTTCAAAAAAAGTTCAGAAAGCAAGAACAAAGTGAACAAGTCGAAATCTGAATGGAAAGTGATTTGATTTGAAAAAGATTTGTTCTTATATTTAAAGCTACTCCTTTAAACTGCTAGTTCCTTTTTGCTCAATGATCAGTGATCATTTTTAGAACAAATCATATCTTAAAAACTACTCGGAATATTATTTTAAAAATTTGGATTCTTACAAATAAAAAGATGCTCTACACCATGGTGACAAAAAATTACTCGTAGGGTTTTTCTTAGATTACTTCGATTTACTTCGAACTTCTTCGAACACTGTTCGAAGAAAAGTTTGCCAATATTCAATTTCAAATTGCATATTATTCTAAAGGGCAAGTCCATCCCTTTAAAATGGTCTTTATTTGAAGGAAATCGGCTTAATAGTTATTGAGTAATGACTTTTTAAAGTTAAAGTATTTTAAATTCATTTAAATTAGAAAAAAATTAATTAGTTCAAAGTGTGTGGACTTTTTGAATTTTTTTAGTGCATTTGATTTGTCTCACTGAGACGAGCAAAATGATATAAAACTTGTCAAGTTTTTTTTGTCGCCCTGTGTTATTTAATTAACCCCATGACATAAAAATTCAATGTTTGGATTTGCAATTAGGGTAAAATACTCGCCGACTCACAAAATTGATCGTTCTGGAGATGAGACAATTAGGATTAGGATGAAATGTCATTTTTCATATATGTCAAGGTAATTACAGAATCATTTGCTACTAGAACTTGGAAGGAAATGGGAGAATAAATGACACTTCCTACGACAACTTTAATGTCTTTTTTGAATTAAAAATTTCTGATTTATTCGTTTGAAATAATTGTGGATTTTATTGGAAAATAAAAGTTGATTTCAAACCCGACCTAACATTGTTGTATGCATTTTTCGATAATAGTGAAAAAAATGAGAGAGAAATGGAAGCTCTTATGCTTTGCTCTTAGAGGCAAATTTCTTTGCAAAATTTTGTTATTCTTGTTATTTTCCCTGAATGGAATTACCATCCAACTTTGGTTTCAAAGTTATGAAATAAAATATAAAAAGTTTACATCTTTTTATCACTAAAATGTAAACAGAAAAATAGAGAGACGGAAAGTGAGATGAAAGTTTCATTTTTGGAATTTTACGAAGCGGAAAACGTCGCCACTGAAATAACTCTTGTCTCAATTTGTCATATTTATTCTCAAACTGTTTCAATTATTTGACACCCAATCCGACACCCTGCGGAAGTAAAGGGGCGTCACTGTTTGTATCCACTCCACTTAACCGAATCTGGGCAATTTGTCTATTTCTGTATCTATTTTGACTGAGCTCTGAAAGTGGCATTTAGACACGATTTAGGCATTAGCCGAATCCACATCTGGATCTTTTAAAATAAAACTGATGGCTTTTAACCGTGTCTTCTTCGAAAACACGCAAAATCATAACAAAAACTAACTCTCGTTTAACTCACGATGTTTTTTTTACATATTTCACATTTTTTGATGAGAGAAATTGCTACAAATCGTGAAAAAGGCAAAAATATCACAATATGATGATTTTTCAATGAAATAATTGCGTTTCTGGCTGAAAAAACGCGCTAGAATACTTGAAAAAGAATTAAATAATATAATTTTCAAGCTAATTGAGTGATTTTTGGCTAGGTTGAGTAATTCCATTTTTTATTATTTATTTAGGATTATGATGAAATTGTGAGACAGCTTGTTAAATACCTTTTTTTATTTTGTTTTATTGAGATATACTCGTAAAATTCTAGAAATTATTCAATTATTTAATATTTCTTCTTTCTTGGTATGTTAAAAAAAAATTCTAAATGCTTTTTTATTACGATATGTCTTTTACTTTTTTTCTGTTTTTTTCTTTTTCATAGTTTGTCTTTTATAGATKTAACTTTGTAAAGAACAGTGATGGTCATTCTTAATATTTTTAAGTACTTTTTCAGTTTTAAATTCTTTATTGTAGTTTTCCTACAATTATGTATTTTTAAAATTTATATCATTTTCTACAAAATTTGAAGAATTTTCAAATCGGTACAGTAAAAGTCTACAAAATATGTGAATTTTTAGCCGGCCTAAACCTTCGAAAAAGGTAAAAATAGTACCATTTTAAACTTAACTTAGGCTTTTATCGGCGTCTTTTTGACGTAATGTTTAATTTTTTGGATAAAAAACGTATTAAAACAATCAAAAAAGGAAAAAGACTGCCATTTTAAACCAAATTTAAGAATTTTTTGAAAGAGCTTTCTCAGAAAACTTTTCTTATTCTTCAAAAAAGGCAAAAATTTATCTTTTTTGATGTAATTTTTTGTCCAATTTTTGCCAAAATTTCGTGTTTTTCGTAGTTGAAAAGCGTAATAAAAGGGCAAAAAAGGCACTTATTTCAAATGAATGTAGTAATTTTTCGGTTTGCTTCGAACAAAATTAAAATAATTAAAATAATTGTTTTGGCGCTAAAAAAGGTGCTAAAACGCCTGAAAAGACACAAATGATGTAATTTTCAATTTAAATTCGATGATTTTTTACCCCGGGATAGCAAAAAATTGAGTTTTTACCTCAACAACAAACTTAAACTTTTGAAAAATGCAAAAATAATCTAATTTTTTATCTACTTTGGCGAATTTTGGTCCGATTTAAAGATATCTTACAAACTACAAAATTGTGAGCCTAAAAATATGCTTAAATTCCAAAAAATCTCATTTTAACCTAATGTAGTAACTTTTGCAAAATTTTAAGTATTTGAAACATGGTAAAGATTTCGAAAAGGACAAAAATATTACCATTTTTGACCTAATTTGCTGACTTTTTGGCAAAAGTTTTGTGAATTCTAACTGAAAAATATGAAAACGCTCAAAAGACACAATAAAGAACACATGTTTAGACTGAATTTAGTAATTTTTTGGATTGTTTCTCACAAATTTTGAGAAATAATTAATTGTGTTTGTAGCTAAAAAATATGCTAAAATGCTTGGAAAGACACAAATTTTGTAATTCTCAATTTAATATAATGATTTTCTATCTCGGGATAGTGAAACTTTGTGAAAATCAAAAACAAACTTAATTTTTTCAAAAATGCAGATATAATATGATTTTTGGACCTATTTTGGTGATTTTTGTTCAAAAATATTTTGCAAATAACAAAATTTGAGCCCAAAAATGTGTTGAAACGCCCAAAAAAAGCAAAAATAATATTATTTCCGTCCTAATTAATGACTTTGTGACCCACTTTTGTAAAATTTTGAATTTCTGGCTCAAAAACATGGCAAAACCTTCGGAAAAGGCAAAAATATTACCATTTTTGACCTAATTTACTGAATTTTTGGCAAATGTTTAGCGAAATTTTGTAACTTCTAACTGAAAAACGTAAAAACGCTCAAAAGACACAATAAAGAACACATGTTTAAAGTGAATTTAGTAATTTTTTGGCTTGTTTCTAACGAATTTTGAGAAATAATTAATTGTGTTTGTAGCTAAAAAATGTGCTAAAACGCTTGGAAAGACACAAATTTTTGTAATTTTCAATTTAATATGATGATTTTCTATCACGGGATAGTGAAACTTTGCGAAAATCTGAATTTTCAGTTCAAAAACATAATCTTAAATTTTTAGAAAATGCAGTTTTTGGACCCATTTTGGCGATTTTTGATCTAAAATATTTTGCAAATAACAAAATATTGAGCCCAAAAAAAAGCAAAAATAATATCATTTTCGCCCTAATTAATGACTTTGTAGCCCAATTTTACAAAAGTTTGAATTTTTGGCTCAAAAACATGACAAAACGTTCAAAAAAGGCAAAAATATTTTCATTTTTGACCTAGTTTGCTTAGTTTTCGGCTAATTTTGATCGAAATTTCGTGTGTTCTGGTTGAAAAACGTTCTAAAACACTCAAAAAATGCCTCGAAATCTGGTCGTTTTTGCTTTTTTTGATTCAATTTTCTTCTTCTGCTTCTGAGTGAAAAACAACAAATGTATTTAGTTCGGTCAACTTTTGACTTAATTAAAAAATAATATAAATTAGACTCGTGGTCCTGATTTAGCTTGAAAAAAAACAAAAAAGATCACTCACAATAGTGAGTCTATTTTAACTTTAATTAACCCAAATCTAGTCCTCTAAAACTAAACATTAGTAACGGATAATCTAAGATACAAAGCATCGCGTATGATAAATGTGGTCCTTCTTTATGCAGTATGTATGCTTTGGCCAAGTTGCAGACACAAAATAAATAAATCTCGACTCGTCCAGATGTATAAATGCATGTTCTTTACTATTATTACCGTTGTATGAGACGAAACGTGATTTAATAGCGTGTTTGCGGCCAAATAATTGTCGCTTAAATGTGTACTTGCTATGAATTAATAGGGGATTCACCTGAATTTGATGGAGGGAGACGCGACAAGGGCGAACCGAAGGGATGAAGACGATCCGACACGAACTGCGACGACGGACAGTTCTGGAAAAAAGCAAAAAATTAAACTTGATTTATTTTTGCCAAATTTCGGCAATTTAAAAAAAAATCGGTTACATGACGCTCGAAAACTCGTGCCAGATGCGTAACATGAAACCATAAATCAGCAAAAAATCTAACATCATAATCAAAAAAATAGTAATTAAGCGACGCGTCGTTTTATTTGTTGCCAACTGTACCAATTAAATTATTTTTGAACAATAAAAATTGAACAATCGCCAGTTTTAATTTTTATTTGATAATTTTTTTTTATTATTGAAGGCTCAACACACGACAGTCATGTGTTCAATTAACACTCTTGTAGTTTGAGACCAGTGGGACAAAATGTTTCGATTTTCTGTAATTTCGGAACGTTGTTGTCTGGCTCGTGTCCAGGATTTGTGGCAGACATTGGATTAATCGTCGCAACTAACGGACAAGATTCAGATTAAATTCCTCCGCTTTCATAACAGTATTAATGTGAGCCAAATTTATGCCTGGTGCAATGCCTTCCATGGACGATTTATGGATTTTGCGGTTTTCAATTTTCTTTTCTACAGAATGGCGCATACTTCCATAAAATTCTTGGTTTTTCATTAATTTTCATTGAAAAATTTCAATTTTGAAATTTCAAATTTAAAAATCAAGAAATAATCTCAATAACTGTATCTTTTATACAGGCTGTTCCGTTTTTATTGTTGCAAATTTAAACAGGTGATAGGATATTCAATTCTAAGACAAAAGTTTCCTATAAACATGTATCGAAAAATGCTTGGTAAGGGAGCTACACCCCCTGAAAGGGGGCCAATAGGTTTTTGCTAATATTTTAGAAACCATTCAAGATAAAATTACAAAATTTGGTACAGATGATAATCTTTATACACCTAAACGAATTCAAACATCAAATGTCGAAATTTCTAATCAGGGGCGTCCGAAACTGGTGGGGTTTAGGGTAAAAAAAATACCCTACCTATTTTGGCTCTAGTTTCTTTAGTTATGCATTTACCAAAATGGTGGTCACTTTGAACAACTCCTTTAGATTTAGGCAAACTCATTTAATTAATGTTATTATTGTTACTGTAATGTAATATTAATTAGTTGAGGTTGATTAAAAAATATAAATTTCTTGCTTTTATTATTCTGTAAATTATGATTTATTTTAATGTTGTATTGGTGTGTAACATAAATTTTAAATTAATTTTATTCAAAAACAGTAAGTCGTATCGACACAAGAGAGAAAAACACAAGTACCGAGAAACTAAAGCCAAAATAAATAGGGTATTTTTTACCTTAAACTCCCCCAGTTTCGTACGCCCCTGATTAAAAATTTCGACATTTGATGTCTGAATTCGTTTAGGTGTATAAAGATTATCATCTGTACCAAATTTTGTAATTTTATCTTAAATGGTTTCTGAAATATTAGCAAAAACATATTAGCCCTCTTCCAGGGGGTGTAGCTCCCTTACCAAGCATTTTTCGATACATGTTTATAGGAAACTTTTGTCTTAGAATTGAATATACTATCACCTGTTTAAATTTGTAACAATAAAAATGGAACACCCTGTAGATATTATTTAGGGCAAATGATAAAATTAAAAAAAGAAACAGAAAACATCCAGTTTTACACCCAGAACTTTTTGTAGGCTCCTAATAAGATTAAAACTTATTAAGATTTAAAATTCCACTTGATGTTTTGATATTTTACGATAAAAAGCTCTTATGCTTTTATGCTTATGCCGCTCTCATGCTTATGTGCTCTTATGCTCATGCTCTCATATGCTTTTAGTTGTTCTTATGCGCACATGCTTAGACATTTTACTATACCTACATATAAAAGTATACAAAACAATTAGTGTTCTACAATAAATATATATCGAGAAAATTTCTGATAAAAACAAAGCTATCGAAAATATAAATACGATTATTTTGTTACAAATTCACATTTTTTGAGAAGAGAAATTGCTCCAAATCGAGAAAAAGGCGAAAGTATCACAATTTTGTGATTTTTCCATTAAATAATTGCGTTTATAGCTACAAATGTGCACAGATACATGAAAAATGGATGAAATAATATCATCATTTTCAAGCTAATTGAGTGATTTTTGGCTATGTCGAGTAAAAATTCCCTTTTTTATTACTTATTTAAGATTATTATTAAATTGGGAGACAGCTTGTCAAATGCTTAATACCTTCTAACATTTTATTTTGTTTTATTGAGATATACTCGTAAAATTCTAGAAATTATTCAATTATTTAACAATTCATCTTTCTTGGTATGTCAAAAAATTAACTTTTTTATTTATTACGTTGTCTTTTATTTCTTTTTCTTTTTCATAGTTTGTCTTTTATAGTTGTAACTTTCTAAAGAACAATAATAGCCATTTCTAATATTTTTAACCACTTTCTTAGTTTTAAATTCTTTATTGTATAAGTGTGTTTTGTTTCCTACAATTATGTATTTTTAAAATGTATATCATTTTCTACAAAATTTGAAAAAATTTCGGATCGGTACAGTAAAGTCTACAAAAAAATGTAAATTTTTAGCTTAAAAATTGGACTAAACTCCTGAAAAACGCAAAAATAATACCATTTTAGACTTAACTTAGACTTTTATCGGCACCTTTTGACGTCATTTTACGAAATAATTAAGTTTTTGGACGAAAAACGTGTTAAAATGTTCAAAAAAATAAAAAAAGACTGCCATTTTAGACCTAATTTGGGCACTTTTTGAAAGACATTTCTCAGAAAACTTTTTTTATTNCTCAAGAAAGGCAAAAATTTACCTTTTTTGATGTAATTTGGTAAATTCTTGGCCTTTTTGCACCTTCTAGTTGAAAAACGTAATAAAAGGGTAAAAAAGGCACACTATTTTCGACTGAATGTTGTAATTTTTCGGCTTGCTTCTCACAAAACTAAAATATTAATTGTTTTAGTGGCTAAAAAACGTGCTAAAACGCTTGAAAGAACACAAATTACGTCATTTTTAAATTAAATGTGATGATTTTTTACCTCGAGATAATAAAAAAACGAGTTTTTACCTCAACAATTAACTTAAACTTTTGAAAAATGCAAAAATAATGTGATTTTTGACCTATTTTGGCAAATTTTGGTCCGATTTAAAAATATCTTACAAACAATAAAATTTTGAGCCCAGAAATGCGCTTAAACTTCCAAAAAAAGCAAAAATAATTTAATTTCAACCTAATATAGCGATTTTATGTCCCACTTTTGCAAAATTTTGAGTATTTGGCTCAGAAACGTGGCAAAATTTTCGAAAAAGAGAAAAATGTGATTTGTGACCTAATTTGCTGCCTTTTTTGCAAATGTTTACCGAAATTTTGTCTTTAATTGTGTTTGTAGCTAAAAAATGTGCTCAAACGCTTGGAAAAGACACAAATTTTGTAATTTTCAGTTTAATATGATGATTTCATTCCGGAATAATGAAACTTTGTAAAAAGCTGAATTTTCAATTTAAAAAACAAAGTCGAACTTTTCAAAAATGCGAAAATAATGGTTTTTGGACATATTTTAGCGATTTTTGACCAAAAATTTCTTGAAATAACAAAATAGGAGCCCAAAAATGTGCTGAAACGCTCAAAAAAACATTTGATTCTAAACTATAACAAGTTGCAGTGTTCTCGATGCCTATCGATTCCCCGGAACTCAGACGTAGAGTATAAAGATATAAAAATTTTAATACGTAAATTACATATCGTTTTTTGATGCCTATCCCCAAGAAGAAGCAACAAAATAGATGTTTTTTCTGATTTGAAGTAAATAATTTTTTTTTGTTGAATAAATAATGCCATCGTCGAGGCGAAAGCCACATCATGTGCATATTCATCCATCTATAAATAATCGAGCGAACGTGTAGTAAAGGCTTCTCTTCGATTACGTTATCTCGTAATACACTCACAGTACACCTATGGGACTTCCCCCGAAATGAAACATTTCCAACTCTTGCAATACGTTTCGTTTATAAATCATCTTAAAGGAATCGAAACAATGAATCAAAACTGTCTTCGTTATTCGAACAAAAGCGCTTAAATGAAATCAATAGTAATAATTATAAATGAAATTGGATGAAAACCGATGAAATGTGTGTAAAGGAGCAACAGTTGCTTTTTGTGTCTTAAATTAGACATTTTGATGAATAATAAATCATAACTGTGCGACTTTGCCTGCTTCAAACATTAGTTTCGGTGTTTTGGGTTTAATCCATCAAATCGCAATGGATTATTTGTGACACGTTACGTTTCCTTGAATGACTTTTGATCATTCAAATGAGGGATTCGGTGATATTTCATTCTGACGTAAAAAAGCGGACGGAAATGCACAAAAATCAAAGCAAACGTGAGGAAGTAAAGTAACTAATAAAAGAATAAAAATGTTTATATAATAATTAAAACAACATAAACGTAAAAACGAAGAATGTTACGAAATAATAAATTTTTTTGGATGAATTGAAAAAACCTAATTTGGAATTTTTTTTAAAGAAATTTCTCAGAAAACTTTTCTTATTCTTCAAGAAAGGCAAAAATTTATCTTGTTTGTAATTTGGTAATTTTTTGCCCAAAATTTGGTGTCTTCTAGTCGAAAAACGTAATAAAAGGATAAAAAAGCACACTTATTTCAACTGAATGTAGAAATTTTTCCGTTTGCTTTTCACAAAATTAAAATAATTAAAATAATTTATGGCTAAAAAATGTACTAAAACTGAAAAGACACAAATTATGTAATTTTCAATTTAAATGTGATGATTTTTACCCGGGATAGCAGTAAAAACTGAGTTTTTACCTCAACAACAAACTTAAACTTTTGAAAAATGCAAAAATAATCTAATTTTTGATCTACTTTGGCAAATTTTGGTCCGATTTAAAGATATCTTACAAACTACAAAACTGTGAGCCTAAAAATGTGCTTAAATTCCAAAAAAATCTCATTTTAACCTAATATAGTAACTTTTGCAAAATTTTAAGTATTTGAAACATGGTAAAGATTTCGAA